AGTATTTTATATAGCGTTACCCGGACGAAGTACTTAGGATATATCCTTACTACTTCTGGTGTCGAAGCGGACCCTGACAACAGTTCTTAGTCGACACGACCCTGAGTATGAATGGACTTGGGGTGCAAACGAAGTCCCTAGCAGACACAGGAGCAAATGGCTACCTCATCATTAACAGGCCTTTCGCAATACGACTGTCGAAAGCGCTTCAGAGCCCCATATGGAAACTACCCTACTCTGTACCCATACATGGATTTCAGCGCAAAATCCAAGGCCACGTACCGGAGTATATTTGGTTACACTTAACAGTCGAAGGACGCCGAATATATAACTGCCCCTTTGTACTCCTGGACCTCGGAGCACAAGATGTGATAATTGGGAAGAAGCTTTTCAGCCGCTTCCGAATACTACTCGACTCTGCAAAGAGCTGGTTAGTATGGCCAAAGGAGTACCCGCCGACTCCTAGCTGGAGCAAGGAGATCACCTTGCCCTAACACTCACGCGAAACATCCATTAAACATCCTGCATACCAGTCGGATGCGAATCGCCGGGATTCCGCAATCCATCGCGAAGACAGACGCCGCGCAGGCGGACGCTCGATGGAAATGAAAGTGATAATTTCTGACTACGAAGAGATCACTGATACGCCATCGAACCCACTACGAAACCAGGAGGTTTCTCCCCCACCGCAGAAAACCCTAGTACATAGGTTTACGCCATGCATATCTGCGAAATCTATCAGTGCAAATGCTTTCCACCATGAGATGATGCGAAGCGACTCCGAGTTTTTTCAGACTAGCATCTACGAAATTGATCAGATCATTCATGAAAAGGAATTGGACGAGGATGCAGAAACACTTTACCTCATCCAACAGAAACTCCCACATATGCACCGAAGCTATGCCAATGTCTTTTCGAAGTCGGAATCAGATCGGATCACCGCATATACGAACATAAGATACAGCTCAAAGCTCCTTTACCAAACGCCTTCTCCCTGCTATACCGACAAGGCACCGAAGAGCTTAAGGCTACCAAGCAATACCTGCTGGAAAACCTGGAAAAGGGATTCATCGTCAACAGCAACAGCCCCTTCGCAAAGAAAGCGGATGGCAAATTAAGATTTTGCATCGATTACCGGAAGTTAAATGGTCTCACCCGGAACGATCCTACATAGACCATGTGCATAAGGTCCTACAGCATCTCCGAGAAGCCGGACTTCAAGCCAATATAAAGAAATGTGAATTCGTGCCTCCCAGGAGTTCTTGTAAGTCTAGTCCTCGTAAGTCACATTTGCGTAGACCTAGGAAGGAGCCTTCTCCTAGGCCTCGTCGTTTTCCTCGAGGGACGCATCCGATTGAAGTTCCATGGCTTCTTCCCATTGTTCTTCTGCCTCGGGGTCGTTACGGTCAATTTCCTTGATAGTAGCGTTAAGGGGGCATTTGTCCTGGAAATGGCCGGGCTTGCCACACTTGAAACTGTTCCCTGAGGGCACAGGGACTGCGGTTCTCACACGTTTCGGTATGGCTGGCTTGGGGAAGAACGTGGTTCGGGTGAACAGAGCGGGTGTGGTTCGAGTCGGCTTCGACGCTGATGCCTTTGCCGTATCTGTGGTACGTGTTGACGTCCTTGTGAGAGCGGGTAGCGGATTCAATTTGTTGTTCCGGCGCCGTTCCTGATCGAAGGTGGTAAGTCTCGTACCATGGTCTGGTAGTCTCCATTCCATTGGTTTTTGATGATCGCAACGCGGCTGCGGAATTGGGGAGTTAACTTGTTCCACATGTACCGAAACCATTCTGACTCAGAGACTTGTCCAGTGATAGCTGCATTTTGAAAACGAGCCTTGAACTCTGGGAAGGTTTCGTGTAATGGTGGGTGCACCAGATGTGAGAATCTAGCCACCCAAGGAAGGGATGATTTTACTAAGACAACACACTGTCTTAGGAAACAGAGCCAAAGGGTTGTAGCTTAGACTATTCCACAACGCAGCAATCAGGTGTGTGATGTAGTGAAGTTGTTCAGACAAGTTGCAACAAATGTTGAGTCTGGGAACTCAGGGGTAAGTCAGAGGTTAACACCTCACTGACTTTTCAGAAACAAGGAGTAACAAGATGAATGCTTGGAAGCTTGTAAAAGACGGGGAAGTATGTGCTAGTCGATTTTCTGTATTGTCTGCTTCTGTTGTTGGTGTGATAAGCCAAGATATGTATGGTGACTTGTAGGTTTGAGGAGGAGATTTCTAAGTTTGCTCTTGAGTTTGATAGCAAACTGAGTGCAACGAATGTCAGTATGACATTTCGCTAGCATGCCCCTTCTCTCCCATTTGCAGGTCGTCGAAGAGGTTCCTGGCCTGTTCCGTCTCGTTGCCTGTGAGGTAGTATGAACCTAGTAGATCCATCATCTCCTCAGCACTGCGGAATCCATGCGTAGTGGACAGGTATTGGGGCTCTAGGTAGGTCTTTGCCAGGCCGGTCGTAGTTCCCCATATCAATGCTCTTCTCGAGACGTCAGTACGGTAGTGGTCCTCATTGAATACGAGTCAGTCCCGAATCGAAGCGCTCCATTGTAGGAAGGTATGTTCTACCCCATCGCTGAGAGGAAGGATTTTCTCAACAGAGATGGTTGATTTCTTATAGCGATTCGGAGGGTCCTCGGTGTGCATTCGTGATGACCCTGGAATCGATGGAGAATGAGTGTTCCGAAGAGGCGGCAATTGAACTGTCTCGGGGGTGTTTCGTGTGCGAGGCGTTCGTTGCTCCGTAGCTTCGACTGTGGGTATGTGTTACGACGGAACAAGAAGGCTGGCCAACTACAGGACAGGAAGGAGGGAGGTCGCATGAGACCGGCCCTGGTACCTGGAGGGGCAGCGGGGAATAGTAGTTCCGAAAGTATCACGTGACGGACTCGCAGGATGATGAGAAGAATCCTAAGAGTCCAGGACTCTGAGGACTCGAGTGAGTTCCCAGGAGTCCACTAGGCACGTGACGGACTCGCAGGATGATGAGAAGAATCCTAAGAGTCCAGGACTCCGAGGACTCGAGTGAGTTCCCAGGAGTCCACTAGGCATGACGCCACTATATAAGTAGATAGTTAGTTCTTAGATAGGAGCTTCGTGCTCAAACTTTTGAGCATGGTGTAGATCTTCTAGAAATCTGCCTTGTAGCATGCGTAAGTCGGCATACTTCGCACTGAGTATCGTACGAGTCTAGGTCTGTGATGATAACTCCAGCGCTCTTCTCTTGGAGTTTTCTAATGGCGTTTTGGTTTAGGTGTCCCATGCAGTTATGCCATTCCTTTGCAGTGCCTTTTAGGTCCTTACGAGGTCCGTACGAAGATAGGACAACGTTGTCCTGTTGATCCTGAGTGCTATAAACAGCTCGGGTAGGCTCATTTTTGATGTATTCAAGAACCCATTGTCCATGAAGCATTGGAGTGTTGCAGAACGGTTGATCTCCGTACGTAAGTCCTTGTGCGGCGGTATTCCAATGAACTCCCTTTTGGATGAATCGTCTAAGAGAAGCGACTGAAGTGTGGAAGGATGAAACGAGAGCTGTATCTGTAAGGGTGATAGTCCGTAGAGACTTCTTATCCTCCCCGTTTTGGACTGTAATATCTACAGACCCAAACGCTTCAATCTTCACCCTTTGGTCTCCAGCTAAGAGGTAGCTATTATCTTGACATTCTTGGATATTGTAGAACCTCGTACGGTCGTTGCAGACGTGAATTGTAGCTCCAGAGTCGAGAATTATGCTTTTAGAGAGCTCATAGGCTGAGGTTTTCAGCTTTAGTCCTTGGGAGACTTGGAAGACTGTAGTGAAAGACATAGGTGGATCTGTATTCGTACGGGATTGTACTCCATTCGGGTTGTTGAAATTATTCTGTTCTTCTGCCTTTTGGATAACGTACTGGAATCCTGGTTTGTCACTTATATAGGCCTCTACTTTAGCTTCAATCTCTTTATTTGGGCGCCATTGCCTCGTACGCTTTGACTTCATCACATAGAGGCAGTCCCGCCACTTGTGTGTTGTTCCGCAAGGGCAGTCTAGTCGAGCCTGATTTTTCTGTTTTCTGCCTCTCTGACCTTGCTGACCTTGTTGTAGGTTGTTCGTACGGCCTTGGAGCGTTGGCTGTAGGTCGCTATTGTCATCCTCTTGTAGTGCGAAAACTCCATGTTCCCCCCTAGGTTTCTGGGTGAATCTCTCTTGCCTACGGTTGGTTCTATACTGTCGTAGGACCTCCTCAAATTTGTACGACTTTGTCTGCTTCTCTAGCTTGTGTTTCCATGGTCCTCGGAATTCGCAAGGTCCTATTGCATCAAGGAAGGTATAGATAGCGTCGTGAGGGTCGATAACCTCTGTTGCCTGTAGCGTACGGCCTTGAGTGTATAGATTCTCCCAGTTTAGGAGCCAGTCTTCAAGGTCCTTGCCTCTTTGCATTTTCGCAGCCTTTTGCCATTCTAGTCTCCATTCTCCGATTCTAGCTCTTTGAGTAGGTGCGAACCGGTCTCGAAGCTTTCTAAGCATATCGTACGGAGTATCGCAATTGTAGGTATAGGGTAGGAAGTCGCGTTTGATGGTTTCTTGGATCTTAGAGCGAAGCCCCTGAATTGCTTCCTCCTGCTTTTCCCACACCTTGCGCTCATATTGGAAATCAGCTTGTAGGTTTCGAAGCTGTTCCTTCTGATCTTCTGTAAGATATGCGTACGTAATTGGCGTTAATTGCTGTTGGCCTTCTACTGAAGGTTGGATGGTCTGGCTACCTGAAGCTCTTGTTGACACTCCAGGTCTTGTTTGAGCAGTAACACCACCACCAGCTTGCGTGGCACTCCGTACGAACTCAGGAATAGGTCGAACGGGCTGTAGGAGTGTAGGAGGGTCCTCGATTGATGCATCGATATACCCCCATACTCCTGCCTTCATTGAAGCAGTTTGATAGTCTCTATCCACTCGTCCCAGTCTCTAGGGCTTGTGAGGACCACCCCCGCCTTCTGTAGGGTCGCCATAATGATGGTTTTTTCGACTCCTAGGACACAGGACTTGATTTTGGTCCGTTCGGGTTTCTATAGGCTTCAAAATGCGTCTTGGAGTTGCTCCGGGCTCATAACTGTTGAGTAATATGCGTGTGTATTCCTGTCTATCTATTGCTGCCTGAAATTGCGGGGAAGTGGTGCTGAGATCATGTGACATATTACAACACATCCTTACAGGGGGCAAGCGGGGTAGGCTGCCATGTGATGGGGCTAATGGATAGTTGCAGAAACTAGTGGATATTGGATAGTTGAGCTATCCACGAACTATCCTGAATATCTAGCTATCCGCCAACTATCCAGATTACCCATGAGGCACAACGCCACTATATAAGTAGATAGTATTTCCTTAGATAGGAGCTTCGTGCTCAACTCAATATAGTATTCTTTACAATACTGTAACGTGTTACTTGGAAAGCCTTTGTGTCTAATCCCCTGCCTCCTCTGTCAAGTCAACCTTACGCAAGAAACCTCTGTGTCTTCTATCGTTTAGAAGTCAGCGTTACAGCAAGGCACCTGAAGAACTCTCCACTAATGTGAATACTATCAAAGCTCGCAACCGCGTCTCCAACATTACTGAAGATGAGAAGGCTGTTCACTTAGCACTCAAGGCTGACCATGCTGATCTGAGCTACTACTTAAAGAAGTTATATAGGTCTGCAAAGTATATCGCTGCCTCTACTGAAGACAAGACACATCTACAGAATGAATTGAAGGTTGAGCGTATTCGTGTTCGGTAAGTTCCTTCTGGTAATCTCTGGTAGCCTCAATCTAACTATAAACAGGACTGAGAAGGGTACCCATGCATCTTGCATTGCGAATCAGAAAGTCAAGAATATTAGCGCCTCTTCTTCTTCTCCACAAGCACCACCATCTACTCCGCCACAACTTCTGTCTGAGCTTGCTGCATTTGAGGGTATCTCAAGTATCCCAATCGATGACTCCCAATCGATGACGATCATAACAGCGAATGGGAGGATACTGAGGTTGAAGATGATTTGGAGTTGGAGCTTATGTTATGGCGCGATGATATTTTAAATCACGAAGCTGTTCTACCAGATGAGCTTTCCGATGAAGAGATCGCTAGCATCCAGGCTCTCTTAACTCAAGCGCACATTGATGTATGCTACCTCATAGTCTGGTAATCTTCTGGTAATACTAATAGTTGATAGGCCCATGAAGAGTCCAATTTCCGCAAGTGGCAACATTTCTGGGATAGATGTATCCGCTCATATACGAGAAAGGCTGGAAAGCTGAGAAAGAAGCCTGAGCATCTCTTTGAGTATATGCCGTGGATTGATGTAGAGGAAGGGTACGTCTCTGATCATCCTAGCAATCTTCTGGCAATACTAATTGTTTATTATAGCACTTTTCACGAGGTTATCCCACCACATAAATATTTCTGTTTGTACGAGCAGGCAGTTTGGACAAACTTTACAGCTTGGAAGTTTGGAAAGTGGGCCCAATTACCAGGACCTGCGCAGTGGTACCCAAAGTCTTACAATCTTGTCGACAATGGATGGTTGCAAGTCTCCACTCATAGTTCTAGCTTCAAAGAGGCATTCTTACTTGTCTACTCTAAGAAGTTTAATAAGGAAAAGTGGGCTAAGGTATCAGCTGCGCAGGATATGTTGTTCCTGGAGCTAGAGTAGAGGAGAACTTGAGTTTGCTAAAGTTATAGCGCCGGAGTACCTGGTTTTCCAACGCGAATAGGGGCTATAGAGAAATTTAAGTACTTCATCGTAGCCAGACTTCTGGTAACCTTCTGATAATCGAGCAATTTGCCAAATGTCATCTCAATACTCAGAGTTGTTTGATTCTGACAATCCTATTGCAGATGTATTCTCAGACTTTTTTCCATCTTCTCAACGACTATCCTCGTTAAATCAAGTCCCTGCAGGCCTTGAATATATTGGCAAATTAAACCAATTCATCAAATGGACTAAGGATACACACGATGTATTCATTGAGTGGTGGAAGCTATCACGATGGTATGAACAACACTCAGATCATACTACAAAACTCCTTACGAAGATTGCATGGGATTCAACGAACCGGAGTTCTCAATACTGGAGAAGTTATCACCAAGGAGCAGACCGGCTTTCTGGAGAACCATGTGTCATTTGTACTTATTGTGGAAATAATGCTTGATAGTATTGCGGACAACGAGCATTTTATTGGAGGAAAGGTACAACACATACCCTGCCTAGCTCATGTTATTCAACTTGCCCTTAGTGCTCTCCTTGGCCGAATCCGGATTACGCCAACAAATCAAGAGATCTTAATGAACTGGGAAGAAGAGAACCAGATGGAGGGCCTTGCAAAGTTACAAAAAGACAAGGGTATCGGATTTACACTTGGAAAGGTATATATTCTCTTGTTAGTTCTGGTAATCTTCTGGTAGCTTTTTCTAATATCTCATAGCTCCGGAAGCTCACTATCTTTGTTAATTCAAGTCATACTCGAAGGAACAGGTTTATGACTTTGCAAAAGGCAAACATGAACCGGGGTCAACCATCTCAGAGACTTCTTCGACTTATTCAAGATGTATCAACTCGATGGGATTCGACATGCCATATGCTTCTGCGAGCACAGCAACTCAAGTCAACAATCAATCAATATACCCGAGGCGATCATGGTGCTCATATGTTTAGACTTGGCGAGGTAGAATGGAAGCACATCGAATACATCATTGATCTTACAAGACCATTCAACTTCTTTACAACAAACATTGGATCGTCAGCTGGACCTACTGTCTGCTATACACTCAGAGTATATCAAAAACTCTTATCAACGCTTGAAGGAACTTGGCACCGGCTACGGCATAAGACATATCCATGGGTAGCAAAGATGACTTTAGCAATCGATGCTGCAGAGAAGAAGATTAAGAAGTATTATAACAAGCTATACACAAATACAGGATCTATCTCGCATTTGCTAGTATCTTAAATCCTAGTGTGAAGCTCTCACACTTTAACAAAAAGGTTTGCAAGCTTGACTTTTCAATACGAAATTGGGAGACAGAGTTTGAACAACAGTTTAAGACTCTTTATAAAGAGCAGTACTCTACAGTGCGAGTTGCGAGTCAATTAGGATTACGAGATGCAGATATGGATCCATTAGCCTTAGTATTGCAGCAAAGTCAGACATTAAATGGGACTCGGGGCCAGAGAGAGGAATATGTGAATGAGGAAGATGCTCGTAAGTTTCTGATAATCTTCTAGTAATCTTATTATAACCTGTATAGCACATGTGTACACAAAGATATTGCTATTTTGGCAACAAAAGGAAGAGCAATTTCCTGGTCTATCAGCAATGGCTCGTGATATACTTTGTATTCCTGCTGCTGAGTCTGGAGTTGAGCGAGTCTTTAGTGCCGCAAGGGATGTGTGTGGCCACCGACGTGGCCAACTTAATCCTGAGACGATTAAGAGTATTATGCTTGTATATTACTCTCGACAATACAAGAATCGTCAATGTCATCGTGACAAGCTTGCAGATATGATGGACGTCGTTGATATGACTGAGGAGCAAGTAGAAGAAGAGTATGAGGCACAATGACAACGGATGTGCAATTCTATTGAGTTACAATATATCAGCGATGAAGAAGAACTACGATCAAATACACATATCCGAGAGACATATTCAAAGGTACAATATCCTCCGTTTAACCCTCAGCGGCCACAGCAACAGCAAGAATTATCACAAGCCGCACATGAAGAACGACAAATGCGCTACCAACAAGGTAAAGAAAGAGATAGGGCTGACCGTCTTAACGAGACCTTATACGACATCCCAGATGACAATATCCTAGATAACGAAGATATAAGAGAAGATGGTAATAATGAGGAGCCTATACTTCCAACTATTCATGAAGATGAAGATAAGGATATGCCGTCCTCGCCACCAACGCCTATCCAACATGCTCAGAAGACTGGAAGAGATTTACTTGATATCTTTCAAGCTACTCGTCAAGACCCCATAAATACTTTAGGTATTAGTAGGTCTGGCCGGCCTCATCAAGCAAGGTGGAGAGATGTTCTTAAGCATATATAATAGATAATAGCGTTCTGATAATCTTCTGATAATCGTGGTACTTAGATAGAGGAATATACATGATTCGTTCTCACAGCTTACTAGAGATGGCGAGAGTGATGCTGATAGATGTAATACTTTAACTTAACCATAAAACAGTATTAATCGTATGAGGGACTGTTCACATGATGCATAAATCTTACACGTGATAGCCGAGTACTACTGGGTTTTTACAGAGTAACTGAGTATTGACCTCACTCACCGAGTCGAGTAAAAGGTTCAGCTACTCACCCAGCTGAGTAACCCACTGAGCGAGTGAGCCGAGTATTGAGCGAGTAGTGCGCAGCCTAGTGCCAGTGCAGTGCGTATTGAGTTTAACCCGTATCGTATACGCACTGGTTACAAAAAGAACCCGTATACGGGCCGTATAATACTATCTAATACACTGTGCACGCTCCCTTGATTGTACATGCAAGCCTGCCTTTTCTCTCTTCGTCGGTGGAGCAAACATGGCCCACCCATACTTTCCTCTCACTACATCTCAAACGTTAGCCTACAAGCCGCAGAACGCTTGAGTCCCTTCTATCTCCTTTGATGCCAGTTCGAGCCATCTGCTTTCTATCAGCTCATATCATCCGATTCTGCCAAGTCCAGCTTATCTTCCACCAATTGTACGGAGCCAAAAAATCCATAACACCACAAATAGAGTAGCTTGAATTATTCTCGATGCAAGACGCACGCTGATTATTGTCAGGGGGAGCCATGTCACCACCAAACTTTATTTTGGTTGACTAGTGGTTTGCAGGTTATACCGAAGGAGCAGAACGTCTTTGAAGTCACCCTGAAAGGCTCTAGCTGTTACATGTCACGAGCAGCATTAGAGGCCACTTTCGCTGAGCGGTGGATGCTCTGAGATAAAGGTCTAGCTTTCCTGTTGTGGGAGCAAACCTCCGAGAGCTGCGAACAAGTTGGACCTTTGCATCTCGTAAAGCTAAACCCGGGGAGGTTCTTGATGCAAGGATCTATTTGCCAGCAATGTTGGCCCAGCATGCCCCCATTGCTTTGAAGGAAGACCTGGAGTTGACCTGGGGAGGTAGATTGTTTCTTATTCAACAAAACCCGATCAATCTCTTGGATTTTGTATGGAAGGATATCAAACACCATTTCCCTATTCAATAGCAAGCCGCTACTTTTTATAGATACGTTCCAGTCGCACTTATTCCTATTCGAAGTGATACTGTTTCAGAAACAAACCATAATAAAAACCAATGACACTACTTCCAATGCTGTTCTTCGAGGACTTATACGTTCTGTTTCGGCCCTGAACCCTGTGCCAGCCACCGTGCATTATACCCTCGTCGCTCCTATCTATAGACCCTCGAAGCATACCATTATGGTGCACGCCACGAATTCCAGAAGGTATCCTCGATGCATGATCCACACTAAGTAAGAATGCATGATTGAAGCTTCAGTGAAGTATTTCGTAGCTTGTATGCAGATCAAGACATGCCACCGTGATGTGATTTTCGTTCCTGTTGTTGTTAGCGTTAAATGGCAATGCCGTGGATATGTCGTGGTAAATGCCATTTAAACTCATTTGATGTGCACCAATAGCAAATGATTTTCAGTGTTGTTAGCGCCAAATGGCAATACTGTGGCAATGCCGCTGTAAGTGCATGCAAATTCAGGACCTTCCCCAACACTTTTGCACCACAATGCTCTCCTTTTGTGTTGGCTCCACTTCTGTGTTGGCTATTCGTCCTGGCTCACCTTCCGTGCGTCCTCTCTTTCGCTTCGCTATACGTCCTCTCATTTTGTAATTTCTCTCACAGTGGTACCTTTGCTAGCTCCCTTTCCGTGTTGGCTCACCGTCTGTGCTAGCCTCTACTTTCGCGACGGCCTTGAGAGACTTCTGTCATATACCGTCCCGCACCTCACTAGATAAGATCCTGGTTTCTCCCCAACAGAAACCCAAAGCGTTATCCCATCACGCCTCTTCGTCATACATTCCTCACTCCCAGTGCCAACAAACGGATCCGCCGCCTCCTCCCTCCACGGACACCTAGGCGGCTCACTCACAGGTGTAGGGCCCGCTGGCTCTTGGGCAGGAATCGATGTGCAAAACTCAATCCCATCCATGTCATCCCACGGCCCCGGCGGCGGCGGCAGCGGTAACGGCGGTGGTGTTGTGTTGAATCCTCGGCCCGGAAGCAGGGATCAGGGCCCTGATACCGAAGCTGTGTCAGCCAGCTTCGTGATCCTCCGGATCCTGGATCTTCCGATTCTAAAAGCTTCGATTCTGAAGCTCCAGGGAACGAACCGAAACCAGGAGGGTTTTAGGATCCGAACCACGAATAGGCACACCCGTAACAGTATATATAGTACTTAGAATAGCTTCAATTATAAAAACATGCATTATAAAATTATCACTTCGGGCCCTACTGCTTCGTGACTGTATTTTCGGCTTATATTCTCTACCTACTGCCCTACGGATATTGTCCAACATGTTGTCATCTCTCTCGAGCCATTGAGAGAAGCTGGGATGGGCCGAGTGAGGGCCTAATATCCCAATCCGAGTTCTTGAAGGAGAAATGGGGACTGCCGTAATCGGCTGTGCTAGGGAGAAAGTCGTTTGAGGAGGAAGTGAAGGTAGGGGAGGGGATGCTGGGGGCGTCGGGCATTGACGTATCTGATGGGACCTCTGAACTCTTCGAGGGGCTCTCTAAGGGGGGTTCTAATGGTCCTCCTCAATGAGTTTCTGATTGGCCCTCTGATGGGCTCTCTGAGGGGCTCTCTAAGGGATACACTGGCTCGCCCCCCGATCCATACTCAGGCTCGCTTCCCGATGGAACCCCAGACATGTCCTCTGACCACTCCAACTAGTCATCCAACCCTAAAATGCGAATAAACTAACTCTCGCTCAAAACCTCTTCCTCCCCACTGCCTGTCTCAGAGATATCAATACCCCAAGCCACTCACTCATGTCATCCACGAGCTCCGTAGTCGGCGCCTCAGACCACTCGATCGTGTCATCCGTGAGCTCCGTAATCTGCGAACTCGAAAATTGAGGAATTGATGGGGGTTGGTTATACCTACACGCTTGACACGTCCGAGGGCGCGGATGTGCCGAAGAATGGACTTCGCACTGCAGCAGAGGGTCGAGGTTGAGAGGCTAGAGGGGGGAGAAGGTGAATTGATTGGGTTTCGGCGACATTTTGAATGTATTGCTTGGTGATGGGTTTTGTGCGGTTGTTTGTGGGCTGTTGTTAGTGCGCTATTGTTAGTATTCCGCTGTTCGTATATGAGAATGTGAACTGTATGCTGTAGGCGAATGTGTTTGTTGATCTGATTTATGAAGAAGGTAGATGGGGGGTTTATATAGCGGAGAACAGGAGAGGGATTGAGAAAGGGAGAAGGAAGATCGTTGGAAGTGTGGGCCGGCGGGACGGGCCTTGGAGGCTTGGCTGGCTTTGAGGGTAACTGGCTTTCTTTAATCGAATAAGGCGGTGGATGAACAGTAATAAGTATTGCCTGCTTCAGCTGCAAAGTGGCATTGTTGGGTCCACCCGTCCTCTTTATTGCCGGCGAAACACAATAGCATTGTTCGTCTGGGGTATGTAGCGTTTAAAACGCCTTTGGAGAATCCGGCCCATCCCTTTGTTGCGGCTGAGACATAATAGCATCGTTCGTTTCGAAGTGACAATCAAAACCTAGGCTCTAAAGAGGCTGAGTGAAACGAAACAAGTATCATTGTATGCTGTAGAAAAAGAAGTAAACAAAGAAAAAGACAGGACATCCGTTCAAAAAACGACGAATCCATACGCACAGAAACAAAATCTAAAGTGCAAGACCTGAGATGAGCCTCAAAGCTAGAGGCCCCAAAGCCCGAAAATCAAAGTCCAACCCCCCTCAGCTGCTCATCAAGCCACTCCCCATCCTCCTTCGACTCCCCCGGACCACCCGCCCAGTGCCCCCAGATGGAAGGAAAGACCGCCAGCGTCGCAACACCCTCGCGCATGAGCGAAACTTCAATTTCCGAGTCCTCAGGCCTGTCATTGTGTCAGTCTATCTTCCCATTCAGAGGATCTGTCGACGTACGGAAAGTACAAGTCTGTCTTGGAAGGCAGAACAAGAGTTTTGGCCTTTATAGCCTGCATAGCGGCCTTGAAGTCGCCGTGATACGGCTCCTGCTGTGAGACATCCGCAGTCTGCCAAGTTCGCAGCATAGTAAGCATATTCTCCGGATCTGCCATCTATTAGCCACCCATTCAGTCACGAAAAGGCCGCCACATACCTTTCGAAACCGCCCACTTCTCCCAAAACCCCACCAAAAAGTCCTCCAAGTCTTTATACCCTAAATGAGTCTCAAACACCCTCTCGCGATAAAATGTCTGCGAAAATCCCCATCCGGCATACCCCCTCCCAAACGCTCTCATTCCAACCTCCCACTCATCTTTGCTCCACTCGCCTCTCTCCCCGCCATCGCTACCAGCACCGGCGGATCGCACACCCTTAGTCGCGAGCAAAGCACTCTTCTGTCCCTCTAAAAACACCTTGTTATGCGTCGCGCACCTCGCCGCACCGCAGAAAGGGACGATTATATCCATAAACTCCGGATACTGCGTCGCCCACTGATACGCCTGCGCCGCGCCCATACTCCACCCCAATACCGCGCGAAGATGCGTAATCCCCAGCCCCTTCGTAAGTAATTCATGCTGCGCACGTACATTATCGTACATCGTGATCGCCGGAAACGGACGCAGATCCGAATTAGACGGGGAAGTGGACTGGCTGTTCCCGAAGAGGGCGGGGATGATGATGCAGTATTTCTCGGGGGAGAGGGGGCGAGAGGCGCCGAGGAGCCAGGTGTTGGAGCTGGTGAGGCCAGAGAACCAGGTTGGGTAGAGGATGGGGGGGAGGGAGGGGGAGCCGTGGATGGTGTAGGAGATTTGGGCGGAGGGGAGGATGGTGCCGGATTGGAGGGTGAAGTCGCCGAGGGGGAAGGTTTGGAGGGGGGGTTCGGGGGTGAGAGTTAGGGCGGATAGGTTGAGGGAGGCGGTGGTGGATTCGGGTTCAGACATAGTGGTTATGGTGATGATTGATGGAAGGTTGGATGTGATATGTGATAGACAAGGACAATGAGGAAGACGAGGAAGGTGCTTGTGTGACTTGATCAAAACAATAGAAACGGGAGGGAACCCCTTTATATATAAAAACCCCCACGAGAAACACCTACCTCATCCTCTCGCACCTGACGAACCGCCTTCCCATTGAGGAAGCTCAGACTCGTCCTCAGCAAATCCCAGGACGCGCATCGCAGCCATATGGATAATATGTCTCCCATTACCCCTCACCCCTCCATCCAGTCACCATCCACATACGCCCCCATCAACGCCTCCTCGCTCCTCATTCTCCAAAAAACACCGCGTGTTTTCGGCCTATCATTCCGTGTAATTCCCATACCCCTCAAGGTAAAGTGGGGATTGTCCAATTCCCATGTCGCTTTAAGGTTGGCGAACGGACTCCTTAGAAGCCAAGTGCGCAGCTTTATAGATATCGTCGCTCATGTGGGTTTTAGCTATACTTGCCTTGCTATATTGGAAGTTCTCATTTTAAACTTACGGAGGAATTGAGGGAATTAATGGGATTAACGGTTCAGTGGATTCTGGGTTGTATTAGTTCTCATATTCTCAAGCTTCCTCCTTCGCATTGCAATTTTTTTTAGGAGGGGGCACATACAGGAGCAGCTCCGCCGCTGGACTGGACGGTACCGCGGTTATAGCGAATGTCCTCTGCGGTGCCGTTGACGTAGAACTGGCGGCCGGGGTTTGTGGCGTCGTTGGGGACGAGGACGGCGGCGCCCTGGCCGGCGCCGACGTAGTAGGAGGTTAGGACGTAGTCCTGGATGGAGGGGGTGAGGTCGGCGCCGGTGACGTTGGCGACGAGGCGGAAGTTGGTGCTTTGGGTCCACGGGGGGGAGATGGGCTTGTCGAGCTGGGAGTTCATGTTTTGTTTATTCTTAGGACTTTTTAGGTACGGGCGGCGCGAGGTTAGGGGCGGATTAAGCTTTGCCAGCCCGAGAGATGGGGATGAAGGATTGCCACCGCCACGGCAGTTATTGAGTGTGGTATTGTAAGCTATTATAAGCTTTTGCTACATTTTGCCTTACACTTGTCAAAACCACAGCATGACGACGCCTCCCAATATACTGCGCGACGACTAATCAACATACATGAGCTCCCATAGCAGTCGAGTATCGCCTGCCCCGAAGCCATCATCGTATCCCCTATCCTCGGCTGTCAGCATGCGCACCAGCAAATTACAGCACCAGCGACAGGAGATAGACGTTTTGTTCCGCCATGAGCAGAGATTCTACAGCAACATCTTCTATGCCCCCAAAAAACCGGGCAAAGATACAGACACAACCCAAGAAGACCCCCAACCCCATCTGCCGTAACTCTACCGTTACTATATTTATTTCCATTAATATAAAAATACCACAACACATAATTTGCGCCAGTTTTCGCGTTTATACAAACACATGTGTCCCCCCCACCCCCCACCGACCCGCTTAGTTGTACACCACCGCTTCACTACTCGTCGTCGGTATCGGTGTCAGTGTCGGTGTCGCTCGGGATATCACCTTCCTCCTCTTCGCTGTCGCTCTCTTCGTCCGAGGACTCCTCGACCTTCTTCTTGGACTTCTTCTTTGGGGGGGCCCCAGTGATGCCGCCGGTCTTCATGGCTTGCATTTGGCCCGCGAGGGAATCTGGTTGTAGTTAGTGATTTGAACTTGAGGGGAAGGTGACAGGGGTGTGTGGGTAGGGGAGAAGACATACCCTCATCCGGCTCGCTAATGTCATCATCATCATCAAGAGCCATCGCCTTGCTCGCATCCTCCACCACGAGCGTAACCTCCATCTTCGTATCAAAGCCCACATAGCTGTCACACACTAGGTGCATGACGAACGTATACTGTCCCGCCTGCGGCGGCGCCTGGAACTGCGCCTTAAGGGTCTGCATGTTGAACGTCGGCTTCGCCGCATCGGTGAAGATAGGCTTGTCAAAGGTCGTGAAGGTGAACGGTGGGACGGCCATCTTGCCCTGCTTGCTATCGGTCAGGAACACGTGCCAGCGCGGCGAGTAGTCGCGGGCGTAGTAGGGTGCGTAGGCGAGAGGTGGCTGGACGGGCTTGTTGGCCTCGGCACCGGACTTGGAGCTCTTCTTGTCGCGGCCAAGAATGGCCTCTAGGTCGCCCTCATCAGGGTCGATGTCCTCGAGATCGAGCTCGTTGACGGCGGGGACGCTGGCGCTACCGGGGGGAACGAAGCGGCCCTTGACGACGAGGGAGACGAGCGAGCCGGGCGTGATGTGCTTCTCGCCGACGACCTTGAAGAAGGCCTTGGAGACTTGGAGATGCGGGAGTTGCAGGGCGACGTCCATGGCGGTCTTGAACTGGGCGTCTGAGAGGAGGCCGGCGCCGACGGTGAGTTTCGAGCGCTTGTTTTCGGGCAGGGCCATGAATTGCTGGAGCGAGGTGTGGACCTTGGAATCGCCGTCGATGGCCTTAACGATCTCGGGGGTGAAATGTGGAAGTTGCAGGAGGGGCGATGCCTGTGGTGGCAGGGCCTGGATGAGGCTTTGCGTAACGGCATATGATTGGAGGATGGGGAGCGTTGCGCCGAATGCGAGAGAGATTGCCGTGAAGCTCTGGTTAAGGGCGTGTGCAATTGGTGCGACCTCGAACTTCAGTTCGTCCAGGGCGTTGTCATTCAGTTCGATGCGGCCAAGGTAAGCCCAGATGAGACCAAGTGTCTTTCTCCTGACTCCGCCCTCGAGATCTTCCAGCTTCGTGCGGTCTTTAACAGTCAAGCCAGCGGCAAAGGGGCCAAACTCTCCATCGGCAAGGATTCTCGACTCGAGTCTGCCGAGGCTGACTTCTGCCTTGTTGCCCTTCAGGACTTTATTGAACTCGACGCCAGAGCTAAGGGCGTAGACGACGTCACCCTCGGCCATATCCTCCTCGTATTCCTTGAAAAGATTGTTTGCGCTCTCGATTAAAACCTTCTCCTTCGACAGAGCTTGGGTTCCATACCACCACTTTCCAACGAGATATGGTAATAAGACGCCCAAGAGGCCAGCGTAGACTATCAGGACGTATTTTCCATTGCCATCAGTAATAATAAATTGGGGCAGCGCAATGCCGATGCTAAAGCTTTGCTTTCCATCGGGGTGGCCGAATTGTTGGTAGTTGTTGCGGATATCCTCGTCAGTGAGTGCCTTGTAAGCCTTTGTGAGGTCCACGAAGTAGTCATTGAGCATCTCGATAGTCTCGTTCTTGGCTGGGTCTGGCTTGATCTTGTCGGGATGGAATTTAAGAGACATGCGCTTGTAATGTGACCTGATCTCCTTCTCGGTGGCGGATTCCGAGACGCCTAAAATATCATACGGATTCCAGATCTTTGTAATCGTCCTGGCAGTGACATGGATAAGGTATGCCATAAACCCAATCATTGCCCATCCTAGAATAACGGTAACCATACGCTTCAGCTTTCTCTCTCGCCGTCTCTGCTTCTTGCGCTGTGCTTCTATGAGGTCGGCATGTTTGGGCTTGAAGTCGGACAGGATTCGAGGGGCAGTGGCGCCAGGGTCTGAGCTGGGCTTGAGAACGGAATAAGTCAAGGGGATAGTGACTATTGCTGTGACAGTGAGGACAAAGAAGGGGAAGAATTGCCCCTACAAAATGTTAGCATAATTCAGGCGACGTCGCGCGAGAAGTCGCATACCTGTTCATCGTAACTATAATCTGTCCCCGACATTTTGTCTGGGCGTCTGGCAGAAGCGCCGTCAATGTGATGGTCTTGCGCGCAACCGTATACAGCTTATATAAAGACAAATCAAACTCTTATAAGCTATTATGAGAGCTTGGTGTCTAAGAGTTATTCGTTCTTTCCAAAGGAGTGTTGGGGAATATGGAAGGCGAGAGTAAAGATCCCCCCAGTTAACCAACCGTGTTCTGATCGATTTGACAAGGGGCTTAACAAAGTCTACTAGTACAGATATGGACTAGTGGCGTGGCTTGTGGCCAACCGACCCCAAGTTAAAACCTTCAGCCTCGTCCGCAGGTTGAATCGAGTCAGACGGGCACGATCACGTCTTCAATTTCATCCGAACCGCAATAAAGTGAGATATACGCGTTTTAAACCAACATTGTTTTAGTTGAATAGCAAGCATATTTCAAATATGAAGTTCATCTGAAGTTTCACGCGTTGTACTTGAGAACTTGGGGAAACAAGACAAGCCTGAAGAGTCCAACCAAACGCTGGTTGTCTGTGCATGACTAATCAAGATCTCCTCCCCCAAACTTATTCGTACCTCGCCATCCAACACAAGCGCTTAACAAACAGAGGTAAAGTCCGTAGTGAGGACGACAACACCACAACAGCACTCACGGAACACTTGATCGACGTGTTCACAACATGGCAAGTACTGGAGAGAAGCCCTTGGGCATCACAGCCCCTCTGTCGACCGCACTTCCCACCGATTCCGAGAACCAAGCCAGCAGCGCTCTCATTGAGGAGTTGAAGAGGCAGAACAACTATGAGAGCGTCGTCGACACCCAAAAAAGGTATGCAGACATCACCGACCTCTATGTCAGGTTTAGAGCTATTTTGTCGCTACAGGCAGACTAATGGGCTTGGTATAGGACCGAAGCCCTCAAGGCCTTACAGGCCATCACCGAAGAGTTCATCAAACAAGTCAGCAAGGCACAAGGTCTGCCAGACAGTGTTGCGAATTCTGCCAGCGGTAAGATCTTTACATATGGTAGTTTTCGATTAGGTGTGTTTGGACCTGGCTCCGATATTGATACCCTGGTTGTTGGTCCCAAGCATGTCACTCGAGACGACTTCTTCAAGTACTTCCCCGACCTCCTGGTGACGATGTCACCTCCAGGAGCAATCACAGATCTCACACCCGTCGTCGACTCTTTCGTTCCTATCATCAAGTTCGAATACGCTGGCATCAGCATCGATTTGATTTTCTCCCGCATCGCCGTTCTCAACCAGATACCCCAATCCCTCACCCTTCAAGATTCGAACCTTCTACGGGGACTTGACGAAGCCGACCTACGCTCTCTCAACGGCACGCGCGTGACAGATGCAATTCTTGACCTGGTCCCCCAAAAGACAATCTTCAGGACCGCGTTGCGTGGGATTAAACTATGGGCTCAGAGACGTGCGATCTACGCAAACATCATCGGATTCCCTGGTGGTGTGGCTTGGGCTATGCTGGTTGCGCGTGTTTGCCAACTCTATCCGAAGGCTACCTCCTCTACGGTGGTATTGAAATTCTTCCGCATTATGGAAAAGTGGCAGTGGCCTACACCAGTCCTGCTAACACACATTGCGAGTGGCCCATTGCAGGTCAAAGTGTGGAATCCACGCGTGAGTACTCAAGATTGCCTTGATCTGTGTTGTACTAAATACTTCGCAGATTTACAAGCACGACAGTTTCCATCTGATGCCGATTATCACGCCTGCATACCCTTCCATGTGTGCGACTCATAATATTACGAGGTCCACCAAGGAAATCATCCAACGAGAACTCAAACGGGGAGGGAATATTACAGACCAAATCATGTCAGGCAAGTTGCAATGGAAGGACCTGTTTGCGAAGCATACGTTTTTCACTGAAGGCTACAAGTACTACCTTTCCGTCATATCTGCCAGCACAACTAGGGAAGCCCAGAACATCTGGGGAGGATTGGTCGAGTCTAAAATCCGTCTTCTTGTCCTCTCACTGGAGGGTCACGACTCGATCGCTCTCGCCCACCCTTTCAATAAAGGTTCTGAACGTGTTCACGAGTGCCATAGCGAGGAAGAGGTCGAGAAGGCCAAGAGTGGCAGTTTGCTGTTTCTTGTAAAAGGCGAGCCCACTGCTTCTGAGAAGCCCGATGACAAGCCGAAGGAAGAGAACGCCGAGGACGTTAAGAAGGAGAACGGCGAAGCCGTCAAGGAGAATGGTGAAGACGTCAAGAAGGAGAACGACGAGGAGGAGAAGAAAGAAGACGGGCCAAAAACAACCATGGTGTACACCACCACGTATTACATTGGCTTGGAGCTCAAGGAAGGTGCTCGATCTCTCGACTTATCATACCAAGTCGACGACTTCAAATATAGGTGCACGAGCTGGGATAAGCATGACGACAGCCTGAACGCCTTGAACATCGTCCACACGCGAAAGTAAGCCACCCCACCCACACGACCCTTCCATACTAACTTCCTGATCTCAAAGCTGCGATCTACCCGACGACGTCTTCTCACCAGGCGAAGTCAAGCCCACGCGCCCCGTCAAGAAGAAGACGGTCGTTAAGAAGCGCACAGTTGCCGAAGTATGTCCCAACGCACCCTTCGTCCGGACTAACCTGCGGCCAAAAATAACTTTACTCCCGGAACAAGACCATTCGTCTACCGTCTGGGAATCTGGGTACTGTGCCCCCTATATCCGATGCTGACTTCTTACCTAGGAACCGAATGGCGCAGCGCCACCCCCGAAACGCCAGCAGACCTCTGTCGCAGCACAGGGCTGATCGTGAACGCCTCTCTCGATCACACAACCTATACGTTCAGGCGATACAGCCTACACCCACCCACCCACTACTTTGTACACGGTAAACCGCCGACCTTATAACCCCAATCCCAGCAAGCGCGCCCTCCACAGCCATCACCACGTCGAGCACAATCCCATCCAAATGCAGCGCAGATTCCCAGATTCACAAAAGGGCCAGATTTATTCGGCCACACCCAAATAATTATACTAACACCAGGAACTGACCTGCCTACCCAGCGCTCCGCACAAACCACCCTCCTTGCTCTTCCCCCCGTCCATCTCGTAAGCGAAGTTCTTTTTCTTCGGGCGAAGGTTGTTTGTGGGGCGGGGCGTACTGTAATTACGCGCTCGTTGCACGCGGGGATGTACGAGCGGGCGGAGACGAACAGATGGGGTAGATAATGGGCGCAGATATGGGCGATGATGATGCCCTTTGCTGCCTCCGCAGGGGGGGGGGTGATGGCGCGGAGCAAGGAGATAGCCTGTATGTAGCTATAATACAATCTAATTTAGGGACCACGGGTCTCGATCCATCCATATTCGTTCTATATATATGTCTTTTCCGCCTTCTTCTATGGCCAGACCTGGGACGGCTTGGGGGATCGTGTAAATACTCTGGGTACCATCGGTAATGTTCCAACTCTTGGAACACCTGATGTTCAAAAGCCATGAACTGGCAGCGAACTAACTGACAAACACGAGCTTAGAGGAAAATTAAAATAAATATATTTAACCTCCCCCCTGCGTAGTGAAAAGCATGGTAGGATTCCCGCCACCTAGGTTTGACGTATATGCAAAGTGCCGTTCGTTGTATACTTTCAAATGGTTGGTTGGTAGAATTGCACTGTTCCACCACTGTCCCACCATGTCTTGCGCTGTTTATGTTCAGCTGATATGGCTAGTATGGGGACAACTTCCTCGGTTAGATTTCTCCTCTATCACTTTACATAGTTCTCTAATGGCCGAAGCTCTTGCCATTGTTGGCGTTGTCGCCAGTATAGTCCATAGTCTTGCATCGTCTCAAAGAGTACCAGCCCAGCCTAGGGGAGGTTCCGAAGTCATTTGTCAAATTAGCAAGGAGCTACTTTATACTATCCACTAAATCGAAGATGCGATAGATAGATGCCGAGACAAAGAAGGCTATCCTACCCGTTATTAAGGGTTGCCAGGAACAACTTGAACTACTACAAAGTATCCTTGATAAAACGCTACACGACAAGAGGATACCGGGCTATGGTTTCTTAACAGCAAACAATATGCCAAATGGAAAACGGATGCCGCATCTATCACGTGGCTATATGGTATTGCAGGCTGCGGTAAAACCGTTCTAAGCTCTACTATCATCCAGCACTGTATTAGTGACCCTGGGAATGGTTGCCTACTTCCATTTCGACTTCAACGACCTACAAAAAGAAACTCCGGAGCTAATGGTCCGATCACTCATTTGCCAACTTTCACAGAAATGTGTGAAGGTACCTATAAGCCTTGAGTCACTATTCTCTTCGTGCGACTGGATCATCTGCTGCAGTACATCTAATTGAGAATCCAATGATGGTATCGCTGTCCAACCCACAATGCTACATTATCATGGATGCTCTTGACGAGTGTAAAGATCGAGCCGGTTTGATGGATATCAGTTGCTAGCTAGACAGCTTGCAAGTCTTGGTTACGAGTAGGGAGGAGCGAAAAATTCAGAACTTGTACAGGACCAAAACATCATTTGTCTTGAAAGCAGGCTAGTTGACGGCGATATACAGAAATATGTCCGTACAAGCTACTCCATGATGCGGTCTGAGAAAACATCAGATTTTGAGTCTCTTTTTAAAGAAAAACAGTGCCTATCTCAACTGGGTTAAAATGTTCGATATAGAGCGCCCTTGGGCTGGGTCAGAATTCACAAGGGCGTTAGACGATGTTCGAACTCCGCTGCACATAGCCTCATTATTTGGCTGGACCGATATTGTAGAGCAGCTGCTTAGCCCAGGCGCCAACATTCACGCGCGAGGCGGATCCTACTGCAACGCCCAGGCGGCATCGTACAGCGGCCATGAGAAGACTGTAGGACTGCTACTCACTGTTAACGCTCAAGGTAGATACTATAGTAATGCGCTCCAGGTAGCATCAGTTAGAGGCTATAGCAAGATTGCTAAGATGCTGCTAAGTAAGAGTGCTAATGTCAACGCACAAGGTGGATACCATGGTGACGCACTCCAGGCGGCATCAGCTCAAGGCCATATGGAAATCGTCAAGATACTGCTAAGCAATGGCTCTAACGTCAATGATCAAGGCGCTCAAGGCGGATTCTTCAACGCTGACGGTGCTCAAGGCGGACGCTACACAACGCACCCCAGGCGGCATTAGATATATCGAGGCATCACTCACACTCCATGCAGGATCATGCGAACAACCTATCCATCCCCTCTCACCCCAGCCTACGCGTCTCACCCACAAACAGCCGGTTTGGTTCGGGTTGTATAAATACCCCCTCCCCCGGCCTCACGTACAACAGACAAGTCAAACATCAACGCGATAGAAGACCCAGGTGGGGGTGGATGTGGGGCAGTTGGGGTGGCGGGGTGGTGAGTGAGGAGGAGGTAGTGTAGATAGGGTGAAGGGGGTGCTTTCGACAGGGTACTGTCGTTATATATTGCTGTCGTCGTTAGTACCCTGCTGTCACTGCCTCCCTACTGTCACCCCCTTTTCCCATCACCGCCACACCATCACCACCCACGCCCCGCTTTTCACATAACCCCTCACTCGCTCATGGAGGGACAGGACAGCCATACATATACACCCATTCCGACACCCCTTTTCCGTACTTCTGCCCAGTTTCTGTTCAACTTTGTCGTAGTAGTTTGGCGAAATAAAATTGGGAAGGAGAAGAAGTTAGGGGGGGGGGGTGCTTTTATACTCGAGGTTTTGGTTTAAGCGTGGAGGGGGTGGTGGATGGTTTGGTAGGAGGGAAGAGGGAGAAAGAGGGGAAAGGGGGCGGAAGAGGGGTGGTTATTCTTCCTCCCCCCTTTCCCCAAAACCCCAAGTATAAAAACAACCCCCCCACCCAAACCTGAGCTTCTGCTATGCAACGGTGCTAGACAAGGCATATGAAGTTAAATGTATCTTAAACCTGACCTACCACCTTCCTTTAAGTATTGCCCCATTGTGAGCAGCGCTTGGTATGGGAGTTTTCATCAGACTTGTCAAGTGCGGTGGTCGGTGGAGCCGGAATTGCGGATTCTGAAGGTCTATACATGGGTATTAGGACGGAGCGGCGTCAATGAATTGGATATTGACGCTCAGTAGCCTTCTGGTTGCGTAGGGTTGGATGATATGTTATGATACTTACTACTCTTCCAACTTTTCAGACATATTTAAGCCCTTCAAACGGGGTTTTTTAAAAAATATATATTTATCTTCATTATACGCGTATATATTTCAACGCCATATGATCATCTTCCATATGAACATCTTATACATACATACATACATACATAACCCCCCCCCCCCAATTCATCATATCAAATACAATACCCCCAATACCCCTAAAATTGCTACAAACGCCCTTCCTAAACACCCCTACTCCATCATTCATGCCCCCAAAAAATGCTACCATCCATAAAACATGCCTCAAACCTACACTCCTCCCCCTCAAACCCACCCATCCCCATCTCCCCCATCATCCCCCCTCAAACCCCCCTCCTCCCCCTCCATAACCCCCCCAACCCCCACCCAGCCCCAATCCCAGCCCCAAAAACGCCTCCTCCCCTCCCCCGCCACCATCCGGCGGCGCCATATTAAAAGGCATAAACCATGCGCTCGTCTGCTGATGCGCCATCCACCCTTGCTGCCCCCCAATTCCTATCCAACCACCACCACCACCACCTCTTCCTCCCTGTACACCCTGCCCCTGCTGGCCAGGAGTGGCCATCCCAGGATCCAAACCCTCCATCCCGACAGGCGACCACATCCCAGCCCCGGCGCCGGGGGAGGGAGACGGCCCGCCCCGTTGTGCTGCGGGCGCGTTGTAGGCGCTGAAGACGAGGTGCGCGTCTAGGTTGGGCATTATGTCTGGGGGGAAGGGGGTGTGGTAGAAGGGAGTTGGGTTGTGGGGGAAGGCGGGGGAGGGGGTGTGTGGGTAGGTTTGTTGTTGTTGCTGGGGTTGTTGGTGAGGTTGTTGCGGGTGGTGTTGTTGTTGGTGTTGGTGTTGGTGTTGGTGTTGGTGTTGGTGTTGGTGTTGGTGTTGGTGTTGCTGGTGCGGGTGCGGGTGTGAGAGGAGGTGGGGCGAGTGGGAGATGGGGTGGGGGGACATTTGTTGTTGTTGTTGTTGTTGTGCGTGTGCGGCGTGTTGTTGGGGGATGTGGAGGGGGTGTGGTTGTGGCCGGTGCGTGGGTAGTGAGCCTTGGTGGTGGGGGTGTGATGAGATTTGCTGCTGAGGTTGCGGTTGTTGAGGTTGGGTCGTCGGTGGTGGAGGTTGTTGCTGTTGCTGCTGCTGCTGCTGCGGCGGCGTGGGCTTCTTCTTCCGTTTACTCTGTTTCGGCCCCTCCTGCACCGACGCAGTAGCAGCCGGGGGTATACTATGCACGAACTCCTCTACCGTCCTCAACCCCCCCTTTGGCTCTAATACCGCATCCTCACCACTCTCCCCACTCGGCCTAGCCACCTCCTCAAAATCCCCCTGCGACACACCATGCGGATACCGATCAAACCAATCCCCGTACTGACTAACCACACCCGGCCCCCCCGCGCCCCCCCCGCGCTTAGCAGCAAACGCACACGTCTTGAATTGCTTCTTAAGCTGTTCCGAAGTCCAGTGAAATACACCCCATCCGCGCTTCATCTTCGTGAGATATCGTACATTAGTAGCGAGATTGCGTTTCGCGAGGCTAGCAACAGCCTCATCCTTTGAGAACGCGAGCGGCATCTGCGCGGTGCTGGAGAGGAAAGCGCAGTATCCCGCGAACGGGGCGGTGAGCGGGTACGCCTCAGCGACGCGGAGGAGCGCAGAGATGCGCTGCGCGGCGCCCGTGGCGGCTGCGACGGTGGATTCGATGAATTCCGCTGGCGGGGCGGGCCGGGGCGGGCCGGGGACGGAGCAGTGGACTGCGTTGTGGGCGAGGAGGAGGACGGTTTGTTGGACGGTGATGTGGAGGAAGAGGAATTGGTTACCGAGGCCCTGTGTCTCGTGCGCGCTGAGGTTGGCGGGGGTGTATTGGAGGAGGTCGGGAAGGGAGCGCTCGAATGCTTCGGATTGGATGCGGAGGTCGGCGAACTCGGAGTCCGAGGCCCAGATGGGGGCGGGGTCGCCGTCGCGTCCGCCTTGGAAGTAGTAGATTATGATGCGGCCCCAGAGAGCGATGGAGCGGATTGTGAAGGCGGCGACGCCCATGTTGTCGCGGGCGTTGGAGAGCTCGCCGTCGCCTCCGGCCGATGGAAAGGGCACATCACCCTTCATATCCTCTGTCGGCCCTTCGATATCTAGCTGGAACAGATCCTCCTTAATTGGTAACTGCACCATGATGGTCTCCTCCTTGATAAACATCGGCCTGTCCGTGCCGGACGAGTTAAACCGATCCATCAGAAAACACGCCCACATGGTGCGGCGCCGAATCTCTCGATCCACAAAGCTCAGTCGCACGCGTGAGTGCGGCTTGCATGGGTCGTGCTCTAGGTCGCGGTGCAGCTGCAGCGCGTACGCCATGCGGATCGCCATTCCACCCAGCGCCCAGCTGCGGCCTCCGTAACAAGTCCCGAACTCATGGAGCCCCAGCAGCAGGAGGCACGTCAGGATTGTGATATTAGGCCACTCATATCGCTTCAGGACTATGTTGCGCGCTTCGGCGGCCCAGGATTTGCCTCGTAGGAAGGCAGGTTGGGAATTGACTTTTGGGTGTGTCGAGAATCGAGCAGAGACGGCGCATACGGTCAGGATCAGGACTGGAGGGAGAGTATCGGCTCTGCTTTTGTTAGAATCCGTGATTAATATTAGGAGTTGGGATAAACCAGCACTTACTTGAGTTTGCGCATGTAGCTCGGTTTATGGAGAACATGATACGCCTGCCCATACAGATTATCAAAGAAGACCTCCGCCAAATGCTCCCGTATCTCCTTCTCCGGCAGCGCACCCGCGCCCTCCACCAACAACTTCGTCTCCTTCGCCTCATGCGCCGCCAGCGACGCCGGCACCTCGCTACCCCCTCCCTTCGCCGACGTAGCCCAGGCCTGCAACTCAGACCTAAACGCCTCCTCCGCCGGCCTCTTCTTCGAACTCGCCGGCTTCGCCTGCGCCGTCCCCGGGATCGCGGGCTTGACCTGCGCCCGCACGACTGTCGCCGACTCGTTCTCGTCTTTGGGTATAATCCGGATGATCCGCTCCTCCATGCGCTTCAGCCGCTTGTCCAGCATGGCCATGTAATCTGTGCGCGGCGCCGCTTTGCGAGTCGTCACTCTGTAGACGCAGGGGATGCGGCTGCGCAGACAGTGCTTGCATGCTGGCTTCTCGCCTGAGCAGCGGATCTTCTTGCGTCGACAGGCTATACACGCCAGCGGTAGCCGTTTGCGCTCCTTCCCTGCCTTGGTCTTCAGCTCTGTCCAGGCGGGCGTCTCGTTCTTGTCCTCCTTGGGCTTGCCTAGGTCGGTGCCATCCCCGGCTCCCGTATCGTTGAGCCCGAACTCGTCGTAGGTGTCTGGCGCCGAGGTTCCGCGCGCCCGGCTGCCCTCAGGGCTCTCGCCACCTGACATCCCCTGGCTGCCATTGTGATCCGCCGACTCCTCCATTTTGGGAGTGGTATACTCGTTATCGTGTTCTTCCTGTATTATTTCGTCTGTGCCGCTTCGTAGCGACGCTTGCATATCTTCGTCATCTTCCATCTTTGCCCCCGCTAGCCCGTTTGTATCGAAGCCCAGTAGGTCGTAAAATGGATATGTCACATCCATAAAGGGCCCGCTCCCCATCCCGTTCATCTGTGGCTGCCCGTTCTCCATGGCTACGGCGCTGCCAGCATTGGGCGTCGGCCGTCGAGATTTCTCGAGTCGATGCGGTGGCCCTGTTGCGGCGCCCATAAACCCCGCGGCTATGGCTTTCGAAGTGTGTCTCGTTGTGGTGAGAATGTGTGTATACGTCGGGTGGCCGGGTCGATTCCTGGTGGGGCGCCACTCGGTGCAGAACTATTCCAGCTTGATGACGCTCTGATGCCGTCGCACTGTGTCTGGATCATGTTTAATTTCGAAAAGTCATCGCCCAGGCGCCTGCGGTCGCAATGGCATGCGTTTGCCACTGGAATTGTTTGGATTGAGAGGCGGGATTGGATCGGATCAGAGCAAATGGTGGTGGAGAACAAACGACGTCGTTATGTACAGGGCAGCGCAACGATTGATTTCTGTCGCTCTTTGGGTCTCTCTGGGTCTCTGGGTCCCTGGGTCTGCGGCTTTATCTCTTCGTCTCTTTCTCTCTTTCTCTCTTTCTCTATCACCCTATGTGGACACACAAGTCAGTGCGGGCAACTTCCTACGCCGAAAAGCGATAGAGATCGGTCATTTATTGTTTAGCTTTGCATGGGCCGAGATCTTATAAATTGGGCGGTGGATAAATCGGGGGGGGGTTGCAAGGGTATCCCCTCTCTCCTCTCTCATCGAACCCCCGGTTCGATAGGTGCGGGTCATACGTACCGGCGGTAGGAGCGTGGAATAGGGCCGTAGGGGACTAACTTGCACGCATCTGGTAACAGACCCGTGGCGGTGCAGTGGGTTTAGTGGGGTGGGTGAGTACTTTAAACAGAGTTGGGTATAGGGTATAGGTAAGTTTGTACAAGGCCGAATGGGAATGAAGCTGGAGTGAAATTGGAGATGAAGAAGCAAAAGGTGGATTTGTGTGATATATACTCGGTATATGCCGTGTAGTAGATGTGTAGGTACTATAGTAGCCGAGTAGTCGAGTAGTCGAGTAGTCGAGTCGAGTAGTCGAGTAGTCGAGTTGAGTAGTCGAGTAGTCGAGTCGAGTAGTCGAGTAGTCGAGTCGAGTAGTCGAGTAGTAGATGTGCAGTTACTATAGTAGTTAGTAATATAGTAATATAGTAGTAGAGTAGTTGAGTAGTTGAGTAGTCGAGTAGTCGAGTAGTAGAGTAGTAGAGTGGTAGAGTAGAGTAGTAGAGTAGAGTAGTCGAGTAGTCGAGTAGTCGAGTAGTCGAGTAGTCGAAATCGAGTACTAAGGAAACCGTAAATTAAGTAAATTACGGGATAACGGGGGGGGTACATGCTGGTGGGACGGGACGTGCAGTTAGTGTAGTCCCAACCCGCTGTGATGGCGGAAGTTGCCACAACTCTACTCCAGCCGGCTACTACCACTAGTACCACTAGTACCACTCCCACTACCACTAATCATGCACTTACACTCTTCTGTGCCGTTTACGTACACTAGGGATTTGCTTGAGGTTATAATTTGATGCGGATCGTCAACACATGCTGAATATGAGTGTGGAGCTGGGCGTTTCAATGTTGAATCCTGCGTTCAACGTTGACTTGACAAGACCGGAGCAGCAGCATATCATATCATATCATATCATATCATTCCATACCACCCACGTCAGAGACATTCTCGCCCGTCGTGGCTTCCACGCGCATTACATGACTTGATATTCGCTTCATATGCCTTTAGCAGGAGCGATCGTCACGAGGCTGTACGGAGGTAATGTCCAAAAGTTTTGTGAGTGGATCGAGCATGGGACCCCAGAATTTGTGCACAACAGCATAAACTCATGTATCGTCGATCACATATAAAAGATGAGGCGAGATACACCATCGATTTGCAGCCCTGTACGTGGCTTTTAGTACGGAGGTTATGTTCATAAGTTTTGTGAGTGGGGGGGGCTATATTCGCGCCTTCTTGTTCTCCACACCGGAGCAGACGACTGCTCCGGCGTGCATCCACATGGGTGGATTCCACTGGGAATCCACTATAGTATAACCTCTTTAAGACGATTGAATTTGTGCCACTAAATATTATCGTTCTATCGAATAAATCATATTATTGGAGCTTATGTAAGCCATCCCATCTAAATTACTTTGAACATGCCTATTCTGGTCTAATGCCTCCAATTCATGCTCTAGACGCTCAATTGCTCTTAAATGAGCTGTTTGGAGCTCCGAACTACCTTCAGTAAATTTAATAAGAACCTGCATAGCCTTCCGAGCTTCTTGTATAGAGTAGACAGGCTCTTCAAGCTGCCCTTCTTCTTCGTTGTCATCTTGTGTTTGAGATACACCTAAATGTTCTGCTATCAAGTCTTGCAAGACTTGTTCTTAGTTTGCTTCACCCTCTTCTTCTACTTCAACCTCCTCTTCTGGATTTAGGAAGTTTGAAATTGCCATTGCATCATGTATATTCCCAGCCCTTGCTACCTGATCATAGAGAGCTGATATGTTTGGTGGATTAAGTGGTGTAGGAAGAGAGATTGGAGAAGTGACAAGAGTTGACTTGTAAAAACAGTTGTATATAGTTGTATTTGTAAGGAAGTGGTTCCAGCTTCGTACAATCCAGTGAATTGCAAGGTGTATATTCATTAACTTAAGAGGGTCTTGATTTGCCTCAAAGCATTCTAGCATATAAGACAGCCATCGTCGACGATAATTAGCCTTAAATGACTGAATAATTCCTTGATCCAAAGGCTGGAATCTACTTGTTGAATTTGCAGGCAGCCAGCAAATTTGTATATTTGCAGGTGGAGGTGCTAATTCCAACGCTGTGTAATGTGCTGAGAAGTTGTCCATTGTTAATAAGACTCACCTTGTACTTCCAATATGTAAATAGAAAGCTTGAAGCCATTCAACCATCACTGTTGTATTTATCCATGCTTTCTTATTCCATCTCCATTGCGCTCCCATAGTTGCAACATTGATATTCTTAAGAGCTCGTGGAGTCTTTGCTTTGCCAATAATCCAGACATCAAGTCGATCATTTCCAGTTGCATTAGCAACAAGGACACAAAGATCATTATTGTCACTTATGTTGATGACTGCCTCATTATTGGCAAAGATAACGAGGACTTAAGTAAGTTGAAATATGAGTTGCAGAAGCGAGAGATCTACCTTGGACAGGATGCATATACTCAAAAGATCCTCAGCCATTTTGGAATGACGAATTGCCACATGGTGAAGACACCTTGTGCACAAGGATGGGAAATTCTCATGACTCCATATAAAGAGAAAGCTACAGCTCACGAGATCAAGCTGTACCAGTCGATGGTTGGATCTCTGATGTATCTAGCCACAAACACTCGACCAGATATCAACTATTGCACATCCGTTTTGTCCCGCTTTCTTGCAAACCCCCTCTGTGGAGGTGTCATAGTGAGTATTTCAAAAAGACAGCCAACTGTTGCAGTAGCAACCACCGAAGCTGAATATGTGGCTATGTTCAAAGCTGCACAAGAAGGAGCATGGCTCAGACAAGTGTTCAAGGAGCTTGGATATAAGAAGAAGGATGCAATCACTACGGAAATCATTGGTGACAATCAAGGAGCGCTTGCTCTCGCAGAGAATCCAGAGTTTCATCAGCGAACGAAGCACATCGACATCAAATACCACTACATCCAAAATCAAGTGAAGGAGAATCTTGTCGATCTATATTATGTATATACGAAAGAGATGGCTGCAGATGGACTGACGAAGCCACTATTAACGATGGATCATCAGAGATTCATTGAGCTGATCAAGCTTAAACAGCTTCCAAAGATGGACTGATCATGGGTTACGGATAGAGAACCAGGGGTGCAATCAACTGTTGATATGTTCTTCTACAGTATCACCAGAGGGGTGTGTTGCAGGAATTGTAGGAGTGCCATCATAGGACTAGCGCAGGATTGGCGTAGCCGGAGCCCTGAGCGACCCACCCCACCAAAATAGTTCTTAGATTACCTCAACTGTAGACTCTTAGAACTTCAATCAATCAACAACTTGTCTACCAATCAACACTTCCAAACCTCCAGTGACTGTTTGTTACAAATTGTAATTAGTCTAATTTAACAGGGTTTAACCTCAACTAAATATATAACTTATATTTAATTGAGGTCTGGTCTTTACAGTAGGGCAGAATTACTGGCTGACTTGTATTACCAACTCACTTGTGGAATACGTTACCAGTGCAGTTCTGCGTGTTGCTTAAAGAGCTCTGGAAATTGTCATCTACAGTATAACCTCCTTAGTACGATATTCAATAGGCCAATATCCTTGATAGTGCGATATTTTTTTAGGAACCGATTCAAATACCACACAAAATACGATATTCACGATATCCTAACAATTTCATCAACTATCGTCTTATCGTATACCGTTTCGTCATTACAGCTATTGAATATGGCACGCAAACAGCAGATACTCCTTGAACAGCGACGTGCTTTACGGGCTTGGGCACATAAACAACACCCACGACCGTCCCAGTAAGCGTGTATCGAGTGGTTCCAGCAGCAGTACAACCATAAGATCAGACAATCTAGTGTCTCCGAGTCTCTTTCGACACACTTTGACAGCCTCGATAATATCAAAGACAGCAATCATGCACGCCTTCGACTTGGGCAGTGGCCAGATCTTGAGAAGATCTTGATTCTTTGGCAGCATCACATCGGAGAGAAAGGAGGGGTGACAAGTGGAGAACTGCTTCGACAGAAAGCTCAGCAGATCTGTCAGCAATTACCTCAATACGCTAGCCAACCTTGCCCTGAATTCAGCAACAGATGGATGCAGAAATTCAACAAACAACATAATATCAAAGAGTACACACAACACGGTGAAGGAGGATCTGTTCCTACAACAGCAGAAGAAGAGATGAAGGCTTTGCGGACATTAGCAGGGGAGTTTCAAGAAAAAGATATATACAACATGGATGAGACAGGATTATTCTGGAAGATGACACCATCGAGAGGTCTTGCAACTTGTGCACAACCAGGATTAAAGAAGGAGAAAGCACGAATCTCTTTAGTCCTCTGTGAAGATGCATTGGTCTGTTTTGAGTGGTTTAAATCCAAGAGATTGGAGTGCTTTGCGAAGCTTTTTTTACCAGAGATGTGGTGACTGCTTGAGACTGTAAAGCGCGCGTGACAGCTTGCACACATCCTCCTTTGAAAGCTTGACACCATTCTCACACCATCCAGGAGGCAATTCGACATATACTTCTGCATCAATATCATTTTCAAGGAATGCAGTGTCAACATCCATCTGTTCAATCTCAAGATCGAAACGTGCAGCGAGGGCAACGGCGATTTTTCATGTGGCCGATTTGCAAACTCCTGCAAAGGTCTGCTCATAATCCTTTCCATATCTCTGCTCATAGCCCTTGCGGCGAAGGATTTTGCCATCTCGATCTTTTTTAGTGCGCAAAACAAGGCGTCCACCAAGGACCTTTTTTCCTTTTGGAACTTTGCTTTTATGCATGACTTCCCACACTTTTTTGCGAGTAATAGATCGATATTCAGAGACAATGGCCTCATGCCAGAGATATCCATCAGATCGAGCAAGAGCTTCTTCTGCAGTTTGCGGATCTGTGTTATGTTCTGTTCCTGTGAAAAATGTGTTTTGGAATTCTTCGTCTTGAGATTCCTGTTCTTTTTTTGTGTACATGGCATTTTGAGGTATAGTATCAGCCTTTGCTTGGCTTCTTGTGACTCGATTGTGTTCAGCAATAGGAACCCAGACTTTGCGAGTTTGGGTCTTCTTTGGAGGTTCGTGCTCCTCATGCTCAATTTCTGCATCTGGCTGATCTTGAGGAGTTTCTTCCGCATCCTCCTGATTGTGAATCAGGTAGAGTCTGTCCTTCATAGTCTTTATTATTTGAGACGGAAGGTGGAGGGTATCGCAGTTCATCCATTTCTTCCACTGCGTTGTTGTGGGCTGCTTGGACATTTTCGTCATTGATTTGGTCAAATGTTGGCTCTGTAATGAAACCACTGCCTTCATCAAATCGAGCATGCGAAGTTCTTATAATCTTCTCTCCAGCTCAAGAGGGAACGTAAACACGAAAAATGTTATGACCCTCATATCCGACAAGAATGCCAACTTCTGCCCTTGAGGCAAGCTTCTGGCTTTGCACTCTGCATTCCTTTTGGATAAGAACATATGTCTTGCATCCCAGAACTCTCAAATGGGCGATATTAGGTGTATGATTCACCCCTGGTTCAATTTCTCCCAAAAGGCTTCAAATGGTGTCTTCCCTTTAATAGTTGAAGTGGCCACTCTGTTTGATATGTAAATGGCAGCTTGAAACAGCTCTGGCCATAGGAATTCAGGGATTTGCTGATCGATTGCAGTGGATCGAACACATTCAAAAATGGTGTGAAAGCTTCGTTCAGCTGTGCCGTCTTGATATGCGCAAAATGGAGTAGACAGCTCAATGATGGTTCCGAGATCTGCTGTAAGCTCATCAATCTGGGTAGGAGCATATTCCTTTCCTCCATCCATTCTAAATCTCTTAATTGTGATGTTATATTGCATCTTTGCAAGTCGAATCATCCAGACAATGCATCTGTATGCATCACCCTTATTTTTGGAGGTCCATCCATAGCGGACACTGTACTTTCTGCAAGTAAACAGTATGCCATACTTCTCTCCGTGGAGTCCATGAGGCATGACAGTAACAACATCACAATGAACTTCTTCAAGGGCTGTTTTCGGTCTTAGTTGAGCTGAAATTTTGTTCACTTGACAGATTGGCTTTGCCTCTTCGCATGGCTGGCACAATCTCGTCGCAATGGCAGTGCCTTCTTTGCTATATGAGATCCCATTTACCATGTCTTTGGTCCTGCGGACATTATCGAGTCCAAGATGACAGAGGCGTCGATGCCAAAGTTCAATGTCTGTGTTCTTCTGCTCAATTGCGGCAGGTAAAATCGAGGGCAGGATAAGTGATTCCTTTGCTTCATAAAGAAACAGATCTGAGTCAACTGTGCCAATCTCATTGCCATGCTTATCGAGAAGCTGGCCATTCTGTAGATGTCCTCCACTGTTATAAAGCTTCTCTCCACTAAACAGGCAAACTGGCAAGGAAGGCATATAGATGACATGATGGAGGCTAATTTTGGTCTTCTCTCTGTTTCCCTTTACTCCAAAAAGTCGAACTAAGCCACAGCCTTGAGGATGAACAAGTCCATTCGCTGTATTCATGAATGGTAAATCCATGCGCTCTTCGTAAGTATCAAACTTCGCAAGACTGTTTGCAATGTGCTCATCTGCTCCTGTATCGAATAACCACCTATCTCTGCTTATAGTGTTTGATTTTGCAGGCACTGTATAAACCACAAGGTCAAAATAGCTCTTAGAATCATTACCCTCATCTTTAGTTTCATTTTTCTTCTTCTCAATATGCTTCCGATATGGGGTCCATTTCTTCCCATTCTTCCGCTCCAACTCATCACACTTCTCCTTGTTATTTTCGAGGCAGTCTTGAGGTGAGTGAGTAGGCCATAACAGCTGTAACACTAATGTAGATTTAAAGGGGTTTTCTGCAAGCCACTCATAGGCATTTGATATAGGAGTTCCCTTTATGTAATGAATTATATAGGATTATAATATAAATTACTATCTATAGCTATGGTAAAAGTTTTGGTAAGGAGTAGCAGTGAACAGACACATGTCACAAAACTACACATCTCACTTCTCTAAAATTCTCGTTCGCGCATCTCGCTTCCTCTAACCTTAAGCGAAGCGAGAAGTTGGATATGACGATTAGTAATAATGAAACCATCACTTATATAGCTCACATGAGAGTCAAGTAGTAGAACCTTCGTTTCCTTAGAGGGAGTATGCTCTGCAAAGTGCTCTAGCCACTGTAAGGCAAGCTAGCTGTTTGAAAATCCAGTGTTAGAAAGCATAATGAACTCTGTGCCTTGAAGGTTGGCGTGGTACTAAGAATCCATGTGTATTTTGCCCAGAATGATAAGTATAGGCGGTATGACTTTTCTGGTTGTAGACACAGCCTTAAGTATAGTAATAGACATACGATTTTTAGGGCTTAGGGTGTAGAGCTTCTTTGCGGCTCATGGCACAATCACATGCTCTCCACCTAGAATTTCAACCTAAAAGCCAGTTTCATCTATATTCTAGATTGACTCTAGTTTTATACTACGCTCTAGTATAAACTAGCGTACTCTTAAAACCACTTTAGAACCATAGGCTCACCTTAAGCCTTCGTATACTACTGCGAAATTAGCTTCATAGTAATAAAGTGATATTCCTTAAGCTCATTCTGTATAAATTTTGTAAGCTAGCTCTATAACAGGGGCAGCTGTGGGCTCCATTTCTTATAGACAGCAGCAAATATCATATTCCTAGTTGCTCCAAGCCCTAGGTAATACTGCTTAATGATCCATTTATTTATGGCCTCTGTCTACATAGTAGAGAGTAGCTTATTCTAGCCCCCTTAGTATGGGAGCTGCTAGGCTAGTCGGCTGATACTTAACTGTATCATTGATTTAGGCACTTTGAAAATATGACTAGCAGTAGTTGCTGTTTCAGAGGGGTTCCCTAGCAGCCACTCACAGGTATTTGATAGAGGAAGGTTTTGTTGAGGAGTGGCGGTGAATAGACGCACGTTCCGACGAGCCGCATATTGCTTCCTCTCGGGTTGGGCAGCCGCGTATTGCTTACTCCAACCTTGAGCGAAGCGAAAAGTTTGGTCACGACGATTATATTAGATTCTACATACTAATGATATATGGCTGGCTGGATGCAATTTCGCTTTCCGGATGCACTTCGCTTTCGCCGACCACCTGCAAGGTGGTCGGTGCGAACACCGACCACTACCATCTCATCTAAAGCAAATCTCGACGACAGCGAATCATACTTGGTGCTCGGAAGGCTATCCCCTTTCGTCGCTGAAAGAAACCGAGGCAGCGGGGATCGCCGTGGGGTGGGTCTGAGCTTGTTTAGTAATTGCTGATAAAGAGGAGAAGATTACTATTCAAGTTCAAGCAAACAATCACTAGCAATTAGATTGCGAAATCAACGAGAAATACCTGTAATTCAACAGAAACTAACAAGCTACTCACGGATACCACCCGTAGTTCCGAACTGTACTCCGTACTGCACATACTAACGCATATGTCCCCATCTGCACTACCTGCACTGCCTCAGCTCATCGCACTTCCGGCCTCCGATCATCATTTAGAGCACTTCTAGTATAATCAATAGTTTCTAGTAACTCTAGTGCTGGGTGATGCTGCCTAACCCTTTGAAAACGCAGAAAAACGCCCCCCACACTTCCCAAATCGAGTAGCACGTGACTGAGCCCCTTACACCCAACCACCCAACACACTAGCCACATCGCATTATCAGCCACAGTTCTAACATTCTAGAAGTACCTTTGTACCCTAAGCTGAGGTTTTTAGTTCAGCCACCTGGGACCGAGGCTCGGGAGCTTTGACCATGTTATATGACGACCTTGGACTCGAACTCGAAGGAGGCTGACCAGATACTGAACTATACGCGTATTCATATACGTAATTCTAACGAAAGATCACACTAGGTGCGTCTATACATTGCAAACAATACAAAGCGCCCTACCCAGTCTGCAAACAATATTCCCAACTGGAATCATGCGGGCAGAGAGCACATAAGCCGACAACACTGCTTGTTCAAACCACCACCACCACCACCACCACCATATCCGCCATGTCCGAAGTCGTGGCGGCCCAGCCGCCCGCCCTCGAACACGCGCGTCCCCCACTGACTCTCCTCCCCGTTGGCCTCAAAGAAGCTGCACTCGACTCGCCCACCTTCCGCGCCACCGCCGTTCACTTCTCCGACCAAGTCGAGCTGGTAGAGCGCTGGCTCGACGCATACGTGAAGTCGACGACCAGGCTGATCCACGACGTCGGCGCGCTTGAGGAAACTATCAATACCTTCCTCAACCGCTCGCTGCTACCTACCAACGTCTCCGAGGCTGTCTTCGATCATGACTATACACTCCTTGCTATGCAGCGCTTCGGGGAGGGCTCGCGTGACTGGTGGTCCCAGTTCGTGGGCGGGGCGAAGCGCATGGAGACGATGCTGGTGGAGCCTCTCAAAGCCTTCATGACCGGCGAGCTGCGCAACTTCAAGGATGCGCGGAGATACCTCGAGCAGTCACAGCGTGTGTTTGATACGACACTCGCGCGATACCTGGCACAGTCGAAGACAAAGGAGCCATCGTCGCTACGGGAGGATGCCTTCCAGGTCCACGAGACGCGCAAGGCGTACCTGAAAGCCTCGCTGGACTTCTGCCTCCTCGCGCCACAGGTGCGGTTTACCCTCGACAAGCTACTCGTCCAAGTGTCGACGGAGCAGTGGAAAGACATGAAGAAGTCGCGCGAACTGGCTGGCATGAACGCTACACGCTGGAACGCCGAGATGGAGCGTATAAAAGGGTGGAGTCGCGAAATGGACTCCGGCGAGCATGTTTTCCGCCGCGAGCTGCAGGCGGCGAGGAAGGAGATCGCGCAGACGGCTAGTGTGGCAGCGCAGCCGTCGCGGGAGCTGGAGGACTATCATCTGTCTACTGTGCCATATATTAGCGCCAAGGGCCCGTCGCTGCTGAATCTGCAGGCGAGCTCGATGTCGGAGAAGCAGGGATGGTTGTGTCTGAGGGTGATTTCGGGAAAGCCGGCGAGGACGACTTGGGCGAGGAGGTGGTTTTATGTGAAGAATGGGATTTTTGGGTGGCTGGTGCAGGGGTCGCAGAGTGGTGGGGTCGAGGAGAGTGAGAAGATTGGGGTTTTACTTTGTAATGTGAAGCCTGCTGTTAGTGGTAAGTTGAACTTTATGTATCTGATGCTGTATCAATGCTGACTAGTGTTTAGAGGACAGAAGGTTCTGCTTCGAGGTCAAGACCAAGAATGCAACGATCCTCCTACAGGCCGAAACACAAGGCGAGCTGATGGAGTGGCTCGAAGGCTTCGAGATCGCTAAGAACAACGCCATCAAAGCCAGCGCTGATGTATACTACTCATCCACCGGCCTCGACCCAGCCTTCTCCATCACCCCCCCATCAGTCCCCGAATTCGCCGCCAAGACCGAAGGACAGATGTCCACCATTGAAGAGTTCTCAGCCCCCCCCTTAGACCGTGGCAACACCCTCCCCATCCCTAGCTTCGAGCTCAGCGGCGCCCCCCGCCCCAGCGTCGATGCCTCGACTGCGCGTCGCTCGGGCCGCGAGGAAGGCGAGAGCGGGCGCGATCACGCCGCGAGACTGATCCAGAAACTCGATCTACACCGTCGCGCCACGACTAACGGGCAGGACGCCGCGACGCCTCCGACGCCAAACCCGTCGTTTGGAGCGATTGGTGGCATTGGCATTGGGAGTCTCATCTCGGCCAGCCATAATATCTTGCCTGTGTATGCGCCGCCTGTGCTCACGCAGTCGGGGACCTTGAAATCGCTACCCGCACCGAGCGAGTTCCAGTATAACACGCTTGCGCCATCGACGCTGGCGAATCCGCCAGCGCCGACGAATCTGAGTAAGACGGCTGTGGTGGTTAGTGGGGAGCGAGGCATTGGGCTCGGCAAGAGCGATGCGAGTGGGAGCATGCCGAATGGTATCTTGGCCAATCTGTGGGGAAGCAGTAACTGGGGATACAACAACCGCCTCGGTGCTGATCTTTCGGAGCCGCGGAACGTGAAGAGGACGCCGTCGCCGAAGCCGCCGGGCGAGGAGGAGGGTAAGACGGATGAGAAGATGCTTGTTGCGCCGGGGATGGGGACGGCGGTTAGCATGGATATCGAGACGGGGGTGAAGGCGCAGCCGCCGTCGCCGCCGCATCGGAAGGCGTTTAGTGCGGATACGATTTCGTCGGCGTCGCAGATTTCGAAGTCGGCGCAGGCGGCTCCTCAGGTTCAGGCTGTGAAGGGGGAGGAGTTTCCTAGCAACTACCCGCTTGAATTGAAGGCTCAAGAAGCGCAGTTCAGGACGCTGTTTGCTGATGTGCCGAGGGAGGATAAGGTGGTTATTGTCTTTCGCGCGACGTGGAATCCGAATGGCCAGCAGGAGTTCCCGGGACGTGTTTATGTTACCCAGAAAGACATGTACTTCTACAGTCACCACCTCGGTCTCGTCCTGATTACGAGCGCCTCACTAGACACCATCGACGAAGTAACAGCCGCACCAGGCAAAGACTGCGATTTCTTATTCTTACACCTCAAAGAAAGCGCTATCACATCAGACTTCACACGCATCACAATCAAGACCTTCCTCGAGCCCCTCCGCCTACTCCAATCGCGCCTAAACTACCTCATCGAGACCCACCAACAGCAATCCCCCAAATCCCTCAAGGACATCATGACCGACCTCGTCAAGCTCGAGACCGACGCCCAACCCCCCAGCTCCAGCAACTCAAGCTGGGAAGACCTCTCCCTCCCGACCCTCAACGAGCGCCGCGCCACCCGCCGCGACCGCGACCTCAAGCGCGCTATCCACGTCTCGCGCGGCGCCACACTCGAGGCTCCACGGCCGGCGAAGTTCCAACTTCCTGCTCACCCTGTCATCTACGAGCCGCCGGATATGCCGCATAAGTCCGTTGAGCGCATCTTCGAGACGAGTCCGAAATCCCTCTTCCACGTCCTCTTCGGCGATAAGTCTGCCGTCTTCCAACTCCTCTACCATCAGCGCCGCGCACAGCGTATCGCGCAGGGGCCGTGGACGCCGCTCGAGCGCCAGGGCGACGCGCAGGGGCGTATGCAGCGAGATTTCTCGTTCCAGATCGATTACACGGATCTCTTCCGCCGCCAGTGGCAGGCTAACGTGGTCGATTCCCAGGTCATCGATGTGCTGAACGACCACGTCTGCTATGTCGTCTCGGACTACAAGACACCCTGGCATCTACCGCATCACGCGTATTTCAAACTCGTTAAGAAGATCGTCATCACATATGTCGCTAAGTCGCGGTGTAAACTCGCTATCTTCACCGCGGTTCAGTGGTCGCATGCGCCAGCTTTCTCGAAGGGGTTGGTGGAGCGACAGGCTACGGATGATTTGGACCTTGATGCACTTGACCTCGCGGATCTCGTAGCGGATCAGGTCCGGAAACTGGGGCCCTCAGCACGAACTAGCAAGGCTGTTCAGATCTTTGGGCATGTCGGACAGCAGACGTCTGTATCCCTCTTCTCCTCCGCTGATGGCGCGTTACCATCGCGTCACGCTATCAAGCAACGAACCCTCGGAACGATGGTATGGGAGCGCACGTCATCTTTCCTCGAGACGGCCGTGAGTGTGATAATGATGTGGACCTTTGCGCTACTCAGGAAAGCATGGAGTGTCGCGAGCGCGAACTCGATACTCTTGAGTCTCCTAGCGCTGAGTGTGCTGGCGAATGTGTTCATGTCGGGCAAGGACGCGAGTGAGTGGTGGACGGAGCGGGGGGCGGCGAGGTATATGGCGCGGTTGGGGGTTGGGCCGAATACGATGATGAGTAAGGCGGTGTTTATTGCGGATTTGGAGGATGCGGTTAGGGTTGGTTGGGAGAGTCGGGAGGAGAGTCCTTGGTATGTCGCCCTTTTATTTTGCTATTCTCTTCTGCCTCGTTATTTTAATCCGTTACTGTGCTAACGAACGCAAATAGCTACTCAACCTTTCTAACCCTGACCAATACAACCGACCTCGACGCCCCCTTCTCAGCATCCCACTCCCCCTCCCACTCCCATTCCTCCTACACCCCCAACTCCCCCCTCGTCATCCGTTCCAAATCCTCCACTGCCTCCGCGCGACGCCTCTTAACCGCCCGCCAATCCCTCGCGACGCAGCGCTTTGATCTGCTGGTCGCGCTGCGCGTGGTGAATAGAGTGGAGCGCGCGGTTGTGCAGGCGGAATGGGAGGAGTGGGTTAGAGGGGAGGGGGGGAGGTGTGAGGCGCTTAGGCGGAGGGTGGGTAGTGGTGGGGGGAAGGGTGAGGTGGGGAAGGAGGCGTTGGAGTGGATGTTTGGGGGGGAGGATGGGGGTTATTGTGGGAGTTGTTGGAGGGAAGAGGAGGGGTTGGGGGGGTATGTGTAGTTTTGAGATGGGGTGGTGGTGATATGTGAATAGCGTGGCGTTGTTTGAGCGGCTTGGATATTATGGGTGTGATAGATGGGGGTTTGTATTTTAGTGTAGGATGGATGCATATATGGGGTTAGCTGGGTGCAATACAGGTATTATGAAAATCACTTTGTCACTCACATATCTACCCGTTCTATGGCACTCAAGAAGACGATTGCGTTTAGCGTACGCGTACATCTGAGAATAGACTTGGTCTAATTTGGCTAGAAAACAAGATTACTCAATAAATACACGGCTCAAGCAATGGGTCGCATGAAAATCTCGAAGATTCAAAGTCCATGTGTGGGATGCTCTTCCAGGGGGCTGGTGAGTAGGGAAGCGGTAGCAACATGGGGTTGACGACAGCTTCTTACCAACAACATTCAAACCGGTGACGGCGGCAAACCGGCCGCACTCCAAACATTGTCGAACCCTCCAGATCAAGCCATCTTCTCCTATTACAACGCGCAGTCACGAACATCTGTGGCAAACATATCTATCTATCCATGTATATAGAACGCGAGCGAGCAGTTATCTTCAGTAGATTCGATTAATTCCGCAAAGACCTGGATATTTTCGAGGGCCCACATCCTGGTTTTTCGATTGACACTCATTCCTCGCATCTCTGTGTCTTACCTCTCACCTGTCTCGTACATCTCTCTCTCTTGCTTCTCCTTCATCCCCATTTAATTCTCGTTCCAGACTCATTTGCTTCCTGTCCGCCCCCCTTTCTCTCTCTTGTACTTCTACATCTCTCTATGTCCCTCCTCTCAGGGACAGGATTTCGTTTGGAGGGGGTATTCTCAACGGCTTCGTGTAGAAGGATGGCCCCCCTGAAGTTCTCCAAGCAGCACAAGGTAATTAAAATGTCAATCTATTAAAGCGAGAACCAAAACTCTTTTCCTGTAGATACAAACCGCCACTCTATCCCCATGAGTAGCCATTGTGAGTTATAGCCGTTCAGGAAGCTCTATAGCCTGGAATCAATCTCGTTAACGACGTTATGCACGCTATAATCCCACCAGTCGCGACATGTATGCGCCATGATCGATGGGATCTGGCGCTGCTTGATCAAATCGGGACGTTCCTAGATTCCCCAATCAGCCAAGTTCGCGGCATGTATTTTATGCAAAATGACAAGATGAGGAGAGAGTCGGTAAGAAAAAAGGGGTAATAACTAACCATTCTGTAGTTGGGAAATAAGCTTGCAGAGATCTAGTCTTGGCTGTCCCAAGCACGGCTCGGCATCGGGACAGGAAGGTATGCGGATTCTCTTCGCCGCCCCCTCATGGGGCTTGCGTGAGCTTCTCTACTTCGTAGAGGATGTCTTTTGTTTCCGTTCGCTCGCCTGCTTTTGCAAAGACAGAGCGGATTCGAGTACTCTCTTGCGACGCATCGCCCTCGCTATCTCTCGTAGCCTCGCTCAACCCCCTCGCCAGCTTCTGCTACAAGGTAGGGAGCAACCCATTATACGCCTAGTGTTAGCGGTCGATCGGACCGTCTACGGGGTTTGTGCGGCTAGGTCGATGTTCTATTTAGAAATCGAATCCTGCTAGGAATTCAATCCAATGAGCCTGCTGGTTATTAATGGATACTTTCTTCATGAAGTAAACTAGATTATTGTGATCAGTCCTCACTGTCACTAGGAAATTGCTATCCTGCATGTAGTAGCGCTAATGCTTAAAGGCCGCCACGATGGCAAGGAGCTTAATATCATAGACATCATACCTGATTTCTATGTCCTTGAGCTTCCTTAAGTACAAGGCAATGGGGTGCCACCGCGTCACCCCTGCTTCATCCGTGTACGGCTAGGTTAGGATTGCTGTAATAGCCATTCCTAAACTGTCCGTCTCTAACCTTATAGACTAACTAGGATCAAAGTGGCAGGGGAGCGGAGCAGATACAAAGGCTTCCTTTAGCGTCCGAAAAGACTCCGCTGCCTTACCGTTCCAAAGAACGGGCTACTCTTCTTTCCCTTGTCGCTCCTGCGCTACACATGAATACCCCTCGATGAACCTCTGATAGAAGTTCGCAAACCTAAGGAATACCTGTAGGTCTCAGAAACTTATAGGCTCTATGTTATGGCTAAGTGCTAGTGCTATGGCTAGCGCTTACGTGTGTAACCTCACATGATGGATAACATTGCATATCATGGATATTATGTTATCCATGTTATCCACAGATATCCCTTTGGCACGACACCACTATATAAGTAGATAGTATTTCCTTAGATAGGAGCTTCGTGCTCAACTTAATATAGTATTCTTTACAATACTGTAACGTGTTACTTGGAAAGCCTTTGTGTCTAATCCCCTGCCTCCTCTGTCAAGTCAACCTTACGCAAGAAACCTCTGTGTCTTCTATCGTTTAGAAGCCAGCGTTACACTTTGAGCACCACTTCTACGAGGTACCGGCTTACACACAAAGCAACATGGCTGGAGATGATACTGGATCAAATGTTGGATTGAAGGGGAAGGTTGCTACTGAACCTACCATCAAAGCCCCACAGGCTCACCCTTCAGACAAGTTGAAGATTGCATTCCCAGACACCTTTCATGGGGATCGCAAGAAACTTAAGAGCTTCATCATCCAGACGGAGCTATGGATGGCGTTTAACGCCAAACACTTCAACAAAGAAGTGGCACAGGTCCTATGGGCTGTGGCACTCTTTCGAGGACCAGCCTCAGAATGGATCGCAACCCCTATCTCGCCGACTACATGAACCATCGAACACCCGACGGAAAATGCAACACCTTAGCTAGTCAAGGAACGAAGGAAATTTTTGTATCCTGGAACGGATTCCTCAAAAGCTCAAGGCAAACTTCAGAGACATCGATGAACGACGGAATGCATTCAGGGCACTCCAGGCTCTCAAGCAGAGAGGGTCAGCAGTTGCATACACCGCTGAGTTTCAACAGCATGCAACACTCACCAACTGGGGAGAAGAGGCTATCTGTGACCAATTCTACGCAGGTCTGAAAGACCATGTGAAGGACAAAATCTCAAGGTCTGACAAACCAGATTGCCATACTGACATTCGTTGCACTCAGTTTGCTATCAAACTCAAGAGCAAACTTAGAAATCTCCTCCTCAAACCTACAAGTCACTATACATATTTTGGCTTGTCACACCAACAACAAGAGCAATACTACTCAACGATTGCTACAACCCTCTATGATTTATTACACGTCATTGCTCCTTAGTTACTGGGCCGGTATGACCACATAGCATATCTCTACAACCCTCTATGATTCATTACATGACATCACTCCTTAGTTACTGGGCTAATACTACACATGACATATCTCTATCAACTAGAGGCCTAGGAACATGAACGATAGCTTCCAAAAGCTTCTACAACTGTCTATGATTCATTACACATCATCGCTCCTTAGTTACCCACAAGATTGGTTAAGTTATGACATAATTTGTCTATAGGGGTACTCTGACCTTGGACCTCCTTTCACTTCCTATAGGCTAGGAACCTAGGAGATGGTTCTATGGGATTCTCTTACGTTGACTACAGTTACCAAGCCTAGTTAGTCATGGAAAGTCTTGGAAAATGAGAGAACTACACTCCTTTAGCATAAATAGGATTGCCCTTTCCTTAAGAAAGGGCAAGCAGATAATACAGTAAATCGACTATCACATACTTCCACGTCTTTTCTAAGCTTCCAAGCATTGATCTTGTTACTCCTTGTTTCTGAAAAGTCAGTGAGGTGCTAACCTCTGACTTATCCCTGAGTTCCCAGACTCAACATTTGTTGCAACTTGTCTGAACCACTTCACTACATCACACACCTGATTGCTGCGTTGTGGAATAGTCTAAGCTACGACCCTTTGGCTCTTTTTCCTAAGACAGTGTATTGTCTTAGTAAATTCATCCCTTCCTTGGGTGGCTAGATTCTCACATCTGGTGCACCCACCATTACAAGATCTCTAACAACGTGGAAGCCGGTCTTACCACGTAACAGCATATATAGTAATATAGTACTCGGGTCAATTGATTCTAACTATTCTAATGGCCGACTTACTATTTATGGGCATTTTAGGGCCCTATAGTAATTACCGTAATCCTCCATATGCCCACTGTTCTAGGTACAGAGTTTTCACCTGCCCTGCTAAGGACCATGGAACGCTGGCCTCCTCGGTAGGGATTAAAACTTCTAGGCCAAAAACCCGGAATCCCTCAGCTCCCGTTCCGATTCCTTAACACCTCCGCCTTAGCACCGCTACGCACGTGATCATAATCTGTACGTGATGCTGTTGGAGGTAATTCCGGAATACGGGGAACTACACACAAATTCGTGTGGTAATCTCCGACAACCGTAATCAGTCTCTTCGGGCAACGGAGCAGAAGCTTCACAGTAGAATACAGTAAATAGAGTATATAGATCAATTGAATTACTACACTATCTACGGAGCCTACGTATTATTTATGTTATTCGGAGGGCCTACTCAAAACGTCCTAAGTAGCAGGAGGGTTTGGGCCCAAAACCCAGTGCGTCGGGGTTCTGAGGCAACCGGCTCACGCCAAGCACCAATTGGGGAGCCCGACGGTAACACTGTGAAAAGCCGCCATTTTAGGGCCAAAATGCCACCGTATCCCACGGTGCCCGTCCTCTTTTCCCCAACAGATGCTGCTTGTAACGCTAAGACACTAACAGAGGAGGAGGTATTACAAGATATTATATCAATTCATCTAAGTTAATGTAATGACGCTCAAAATAACGAAATAGAAAAAGCAACCCTAGAGCAGCCTATACCTTTAATACAGGCTGCTCGGCTGGCTGTTCAAATTCTAATTGAGTTTACAGAAAGTCGAGATGATATCTTAACAGCACAATTAAGAGCTATTGAACGATACGACGTAGATTTAGAGGCATTAGATGTTAATGGCAGAGTTCAAAGCAGTCTAGATAGTTGGATTATATAAGCATTCAGTTGCGCGATATATTCATTAAGGCGATATCAAATTGGTGGAGCTGTCGTTAAAAGCGCCACCGCCGATCCATACCACAACCTTGGTTGATCCGTCCGTCATACCCATGCCTTCCCCAAACCCCTCCAGAGTTCAACTACAACTCTCCTCCAAAACCTCCAAACGTCCATAGACAACCACAACAACATCCCCAACGGCATGGCCATACACGCGCACTCCCCATAACGCATCTCCCATCCCAATTCCCCCATACCACCACAACAATGGCCCGCCGATCCCTCGGCACCCTCCTCGCCCGCCACCTCCCATTCTCCCCCACCACCACCCCCCTCCAAGCGATAACCTACCTCCTCTTCGTCTCCCTCTCCTCCATCGCCTTCCTGGTCTTCCTCAACGCTGCGCTCTCCTTCGTCATCACCGCGCGCCTCGGCGTTGTCGAGGGCGTCGGGAATCTCGTCGGCACGCTCGGATTCGTGGATGAGCTGGTCGCGATCGTGGCGTGTCCGCTGGCGGGGGCGCTTTCGGATCGCGTGGGCGTGAGGTGGGTTTGTGTGGTTGGGTTTGGGGGGGTGGCGGGGGGGTTGGTGGCGGTTGTTAGTGTGGGGAGTGTGGTGCCAGGGTTGGTGGCGGCGAGGGTGTTGTTTAGTCTTGGGGGGGCGGCGACGTGAGTTTTGCTTTCATTTCTTTCGTCTTGTGGTTTTGTTTATAGGGGTCAGGAGTGGTTGGCGAGTGGCTCTAATGCTGACGATATATAGGGCGACAATGGTAACGGCGATCTTGCCGGCTGTTACCGGCGTGGAGAGGCCGAGGGGAGAGAGGAGAGAAGCTCCTCCAACTATCACCACTACGGATACAAACGATACCACCACCGCCACACCCCTCCTCTCACCCCCTCCCACCCCCATTACCCCTCTATCCAGAGCCTCCCGCGCCTCCACACCCCCGCGGATGGCAGGTCTCGTAGGCCTTTTCACTGGGCTCGGCGCTCTCCTCGCACTAACCCTCTTTCTCCCCCTCCCCGCCCAATTCGCCTCCTTCAAAGGAATCACCCAATCTGCAGCCGTTGCCTACGCCTTTTACACCGTGGCTACTGTTGCCGTTCTCGTCGCGGGCGCCTGTTTCATTGGCCTGCGCGGAATCCGCGGCGATGATGGGAAGGGGTGGCATAGCTTGTTTGGTCGCGCATCCACTAACACGACTGATGCCTCGCCCGTTGCACCACCGCAGCCTTATCACCGCCTCCTACTCTCCGCTGCTGGATTGGCGTTCACCTCTCCCCCGCTCCGTCTCGCGTACCTGGGTGGATTTGTCGCAAGGGCGTCCTCGGTCGCGATATCCCTCTTCATCCCGTTATCTATAAACGCGTTTTTCATGCGTCACGGCTTCTGTCGCGGCGCGCCTAACGATACAACGCCAGAACTAAAGGACGAGTGTCGTGCCGCGTACGTGCTCGCCGCGCAACTAACCGGCGCCTCGCAGCTCGTCGCCTTGCTGTGCGCGCCGCTGTTTGGGATACTGTCAGATAGGTATAGACGGTTCAATGCCCCGCTTGTTGGCGCAGCGGCGGCGGGGGTGGTGGGCTTCGTAGCGTTTGCGCGGCTCGAGAGTCCAGAGATTGGGAATGTGGAAGGACGGGGTGGGAGCGCGTGGGTGTTTTTGATCGTGGCGCTCATTGGGATTAGCCAAATCGGCGCGATTGTGTGTAGTCTAGGGCTGCTGGGGAGAGGTGTACAGGGTGAGGATGGGGGGTACACACTATCTTCGCAACTAGGGGATGAGTATCGTGCCCGGAGTAGAGAGGGAGGAGGAGATGATGTGGAGGCGGCAGATGGGGAGGAAGAAAAGGGAATGAGCCATTTGAAAGGCTCGATTGCGGGGGTCTATTCGCTTTCTGGTGCAGCAGCGATCCTACTGCTAACGAAGCTGGGGGGGTACCTGTTTGATGAGGTGGCGGCAGGGGCGCCGTTTTATATGATGGCAGCATTTAATGGAGTTTTATTAGTTGTGGGGGTGGTGACGGCGGCTCATGGAGAGCTGACGAGGGCGAGGAAGAGGAGGGGGGTTGCGTTAGATTGAGTTTGGGTAGTGATATAATGGAATTAAGTCCTTTGTTAATTTATTTACTATATAAGTCTGACTATTTCCCCTTCTCTGCTATTCTATTCATCAGCCTATTCTTCGTTATTCTACTCGACTTTGGATCACGACCTTAACAAAATTTTATTTTCCTCTATTTTTGATCAAAATGAAGTGTTTCTATACTATTTTCCTCTCTACCCTCTACTGTTCGGCGGATCGTATCCGGATCTGATCCGTAGCTGTCTGTAACGCGTAAGCCCAAGGTCTCACAGGAGTCCAGGGAACCAGGTCAAGAGGCAGGAAAGGGGTATCGTATTCATAAGGACAATAGGTCTACGTCGTACAGCGACTATTGACTGGAGGCCTTCTTCCGAGGCCTCCAACCCCTTTTATCTATGCACCTTGTGCCCTACAGCCAGACTGTCGGGCTCTGGTTCTTGAATGCTGTGAAGGCCGGTTGCATCTGGCTCGTCTTTTTCGGCGTCCGTGGCGATTTCCACACCGGTTCAACTGTCCCCCGATTTGGATCTCCTGATTTCGCCAATGCCATCAACAAGTCCTTCGTCTCTTTTCAGTTTCTGCCCAGATGACGAAATCGTGGTGCTGCTCGTACTGATTCCTAAACCCATCAGGTGACCCTTGCTGCTTCTAGATCTTCCCCGGAGACTTCGTGTTCTCGAGAGAGCTCGGCTAGACCCTGCACCACTATCAACCCAGGAGGCTTTGCTCGATAACTTCCATGGTACGCCAAATTTCATGCCTCTTCGTAGATATGAAATAGTGTCCGGATGCCCATCAATACTTATTTGCTCGTGATGAACCCATTCGGCAATGCCTTTGACTCCTCTTTCTTTGGCCAACTTTAACAAATCTCCCTCTCGGCACCTTTTATCGGACGGCCAAGCGAATTTTACCACGTGCTCCCATCCTCCTGAGGCTCTACAAGCAGCGTTAAGGCGATTCTCAGCCACAAACGCGCCACACCACCTTTTTTGGACAATTCATTTAGCTGCGGCAATGCAATTTCCCGCAGATTGAAACAGCATGTATGTGTCACGTGGTATAAGTACTTCCTCCAACATACTGTACGACACATGACACTGGAAGCTGAATGAAATGAGCATGAGATGAAACCGACATCCCATCGATGCAAGGCCTATCACTTAGCTCCCCAGTCGCGTTATCCACTGCATATATATCCAATACACTCCACTCGTCATCATTCAACTTCACGCGGCCGGAACGTTCGTTTCAATCGGCATCGCCAGCGATAGGATAATACAGGTGGGAAACCTACTAAAATGCCCTCTTTTGGTATTTAACTCTATTGTACAAACTAATCGGGAGTGTAGTTGCTTATTCCTTAGAACTATGAGAGAGACTGAAGAAGTTTTGTCCCTAGATCTCGAAGATAACGACTACCTCTATCGAATCCGGAGAGGCAAACGGGTCGTTTACGTTTCAGTACTACACGCTGATATCATCCCTCTAGACCACCGAACAGATGGCCCTAGAATACTGTCCAACCTATGCCGTCTCCAGAATGGAACAAGGAATGGAAGACGCTTACAGTCACAAAATCACCTAATGGTGTTGAATGCACTTTCAACAAATTCTCACCACATGCACTAGACCATCGCACCATCCTTACCTGCGCCGACCATCGGTTTAACCTGTTGAAACTCGAACATCGCGAACGGATCAGCGACAGAATCTCTCGTGTAGTTGTGTGCGGCAGGGTATGCGTTCTTAAGATGGCTAGGTTCAAGCACGAGCTTGAAGCTCTCGAGAAGGAGATTCGAGCATATGGTGTTCTGATGAACCACCAATTTAGCCTTGTACCTGAATTCATAGGGTTTGTCTACGAAGAAGAAGAAAACCGGGTCATAGGCTTTTTGATTGAAGAACTGCATGGACGACATCCCAACATTAGAGATTTGAGAGCCTGCAAATATACTGTCCAGCAACTGCATAGTATAGGCATTATTCATGGAGATCTGAACAGATACAATATCATCATCACAGGGCATGAGGCAAAACTCATTGATTTTGAAGCATCAACTCTTCAGAAAGAGGGACATCACGAAGAGGCAAGTGACGAACTGCGGAAACTCACTGAGAAGTTATTGGACAGCTCAGAGGCAGGATTGCCATAGATGTAGTAATTCAACATCTTTTTCCTCTCTCCTATGATACCACTTCTCTATGCGCTCTTTAAGCAGCACCTACATCTATGAGTAGAGACCTTAACATCCTTGTACTGCAGTGTGCTGCTGCCACATGTAATGGTGGGTGCACCAGATGTGAGAATCTAGCCACCCAAGGAAGGGATGATTTTACTAAGACAACACACTGTCTTAGGAAACAGAGCCAAAGGGTTGTAGCTTAGACTATTCCACAACGCAGCAATCAGGTGTGTGATGTAGTGAAGTGGTTCAGACAAGTTGCAACAAATGTTGAGTCTGGGAACTCAGGGGTAAGTCAGAGGTTAACACCTCACTGACTTTTCAGAAACAAGGAGTAACAAGATGAATGCTTGGAAGCTTGTAAAAGACGTGGAAGTATGTGATAGTCTATTTACTGTATTGTCTGCTTGCCCTTTCTTAAGGAAAGGGCAATCCTATTTATGCCAAAGGAGTGTAGTTCTCTCATTTTCCATGACTTTCCATGACTAACCAGGCTTGGTAAATGTATTAGAAATCAAGTGCGACCCACAACTAGCTTGCTAATCATGTAGTGAACGTAAGAGAATCCCATAGAACCATCTCTTGGGTTCCTAGCCTATAGGAAGTGAAAAGGAGGTCCAAGGTCAGAGTACCTATAGATAAATTATGTCATAACTTAACCAATCTTGTGGGTAACTAAGGAGCGATGACGTGTAATGAATCATAGAGGGTTGTAAAAGCTTCTAGAGCTATCGTTCATGTTCCTAGGCCTCTAGTTGGTAGAGATATGCCATGTGGTAGTATTGGCCCACCCCCTTAAGGAGGAGATTTTCTTAATAACTTGTTCAATGAGTGTCCAAATGATATGCCGTGATGTATGTAGCATAAACAGATGTAGTAGAAGAGTTTGCAGCAATCGTTGAGTAGTATTGCTTCTGTTGTTGGTGTGATAAGCCAAGATATGTATGTTGACTTGTAGGTTTGAGGAGGAGATTTCTAAGTTTGCTCTTGAGTTTGATAGCAAACTGAGTGCAACGAATGTCAGTATGACACCACACCTCTCATTGTCATTTCCCACATGTGTTGCACATTTGACAAATTCGCCATCCTTGGAATGTCTGCAGGAATATCAGACCTGTTCTTGAGTGCATACAGGATAAGGCATATTGAGTAGGGACACTGGTGAAGCTTGTTAATATTTGTCTTTGCATTAGATAGTACGTAACTGTAACTCATACATATCCTGTTCAGAATTTTAAGGCCAAGGTTCGAAATAAATCACGTACGACGGCGAAGAGGCTGTAGATATAAAATCAGTCTCATGTAATATCTGGATTGAGTCAACATACTTCGGATTATTCCTCTTTGGATACTGCAGGTTGGTAGAATGATTATATTGTCATAAGACCTGTTTCTTTAGAATGGCAAGTTTCTGAGGTATTCTGTTCCTTTAATCTTTCAAAGTTCGAGATGGAGTATGCGTCACATGCTGACTTGCATGCTTACACCCACTACATAGTACAGGTGCCTAAATGAAATATGCGGGGTTATTGAAACCTGAATGAGGCTGCGTCAAGACTTCCACAGAAGGAACAAGCAGCAGCGACATATCCCGTATGGCCTTTGCCTCATTTTCATTACGAAGCCTCTTGCAGGTCTATTCGAATCAATCGTCTCGAAATATAGAATCAGGAGGGAGAGGTTGTTCTGCCTCAAGCAGAACCTTGTGTTACGATATCAAGTGCGCCTTGCAGCTCGAGTGGGGGTTCAGGGGTGTGGGGAGCTTTCCGGGGTTGGAGCGAAGTTTTCAGTTGTGGAGTGAATTCTCAGAACTGGTCTCGCTAAAGAGAATTCACTCCACAACAACATAGCTGTATATAGATCGAGCCACTGCTCGAGTGCTCCTCTTCTCTTTCCTTTCTTCTCTAGATTGAGTTTAATTCATAATACCCAACTGGCGCCCTATGCCTTGGTGAACCGTGACATAAAACTCAATCTCTCTTATACCTCTTTTCCTGCTCTTTGAGCTGAACCCTCTTCTGAAATCGAAATCGAAATCCACTCTTTGAAAACCCCAGAACCAGAAACCTTATCCTGAAGTCGATTCCAGGACGATCTCAGGCAACCCCTCAAAGTTGGCTTTCGACAGTCAGCTCGACACACACACACCACCTTCGCAAGTCAGACCTTTTACAACGCTCCCTCGATAAGGATATAACTGTGAGGGAAGTGCACTCCTCTCGAGTGGCTCCTACGGCCAACAACTGCACAATAGGGCCTTTGGCAATATGTGTCTGACTTGACGATATAAACCGAAATTGAAATAGCAACTCGCTATGGCTTATACTGCTGAAGAAAAAGCTGCAATGGCAGCTCGAAATGATCCAGAACAAGACCAGGAATCCCTGGCAGAAGGAGCATCAATTCCAAGCTCTGCAAACCAGAAAATGGCATGGACTTTGCACAAGAACATTCTTCGGGACTATTTGGCCCTAGCAGAGGACTCAAATTCGATACTGGCTGAAAAGGATGATGCCATTCTCCAGTTACAGGAACTGATCCAGAGCAACGAGCAACAAATCACAGAGCAACAAACAATTCAGAAATATCTTGAAAAGCAAACCCAACAAGCCCTGAAGAATGAACCAGGACACCACTCTCACAGTCGACTGTCAGCTCGGATTCCAGACCCTCCAATCCTCACAGATGGGATAGAGCCAGCATTTGAAGACTGGGTTGTGAAAATTCTCCTCAAGCTCGAAGCCAACATTGATCATTTTCCAACACAGACTTTACAAATGAGCTACATTCAGAGTCGACTGGGAGGACTGGTAGTTCGACATGTCAATCCAAGGCTTCGATCAAACTCTACAAACAAACTGCAGACAGCAGAAGAAATTCTCGAACTTTTGGAAAAAGTCTTCAGTGATCCCGATCGAAGGCACACAGCTCAAACTGAGTATCAGAAGCTGTATCAGAGAAACAACACCTTCGCAGTGTTCTGGGCCGAGTTCCAAAGGCTCACGACAGAGTTTGATTACTCTGAAGATACTTTGCTAGATGACTTGCGCTTCAAAGTTAACCAACAGATGCAGAAAGCCTTAGTGGCTGAAGTTGGAGCTACTACACTTCACGAGTTTGCAAAGAAATGCATGCTCATCGACCAGAACATCCAGCGGATCAAGGAACAAGAAGACAAAAGGAAGCCAAAGTCATTTTCGAACAACATGGGCCAAACTCAAAATCAGGGCCAGGCACTTCGAACTTCAGTCCCTCAACCTACAATGGATTCGAACATGCAAAACAAGACACAAAAGCTGTATCGACCACTGCATCAAGATCCAGCAAAAGAAATGCTCATGAAACTTAAATGCTTCATATGCCAACAAAATGGACATCGAGCTTGAGACTGCCCCCAGAAGCTCAAAGCTCAAGTGAATGAGGTATCTACAGCTGAGTCTATCATTGATTCAGAAAAAATAGCCTCTAGACAAGTCATCACTAGAGGTAGCCCGAAGACGGAGTTCTAATAAAGCCTCCGGTCGATTGCCAGTGATGCCTGCGAGTTGAGAGAAGAGGATCTGCTGCATTCGAAGCCAACCGATGGCGAAAGTCATTTGCATTATCGTAAGAAGCACGCGGGTGAATTTGGCTAGATCTTCAGCATACATAGTTGCACTCTCCCGCTTTGAGTTATCAAGACCCTTTTGATCGGCCACAAACTTGATCAGCTATAATTATATTAGACTGAAGACAAACAGAAGCCCTAACGCAGTAACTAGAAAAACTCACATCTTGCCCTTGTCGTATAATCATTTCGTCAATCTTCTCGCCAACCTCGAGCTTGTACACAAGGTTGTACCACTTCCAGAATGTCTCCAACGACGTTGTATGTTTGATACCTGGCCGCCTCCGCCCGCCTTTCCCTCGTCGTTGGTCGCAAACCCAGCTCAAGAAGCCTTTGAGAAATCTTATCGTGACATCGCGAAAGCATTGTACTGGGTCTTTCTTAATGTAGGAGCAGTACCTTCAGAGAGTGGCAAGTTAGCGTAAGCAACAATAGTCATTTGAATGTTGACTTACTGATCCCACTGCAACTTCACTCGATCAAGCAAGACTTGGGTCTTGGGGCTGTATCGTCGTTGCCGAAGCGGCTGCACATCGAGTTTTCTGCTTCGGCGAGATAGTGTTCCGGAGGGTGTTTTACTTCGTCGTCAAATAGCCACGACTCGTCATAGGTGTCATCATTGATACCGTTTAAAAGGGAATCGAGGTCGAAAACGCTCGAGCGTCGGAGTAGGAAGTCATTGGCGTGTCGATACAGAGTGTGGAGGGTTGATTGGATTAGTAAGAAGAGAATCGCGAGAGCAGTCGAGGAGGTACAAAGTGATTGAACAGAAATGCAGACAAGGAGTATTAACAACTGAAAAGAGACAACGAGCGAAAGCTAGTAGGAGAGGTGAAGAATCGAGTGAATGAGACGCTAAAAAGAAGAGACGGCGAAGAACAGACGAAAGAGAGCGAACAAGGGACATGCTGCCTTTAAATACCTTTGAGTTAGCAATTCAACGAGTAGATGGCCAGTTTTGGCTTTCGTGGGCACCTAGATAGTGAGGGCCAGGTGGGATGGGTTGGCCAGAGGTTGGATGGGGTGAACCAGGTGAACGATTTGAGACGAGCTGTTTCCCCGGTCGTGATATGAACCTGAGGCACCGGGGGTGTGCGGCGATTAATTTTGGGGTGTGGGAGTATTGAAAAGTGGAGCAAGCGGGGTGCGTAAAACAGCGACGAAAGCTGCCCTTTTCAGCAGCCTCCTAGCCGTCACATCGTTAAATAGAGTAATACTTATAGATACTAAATCTTAGATAATATACTCCTTCTGTTTGCAGGTTATGTTGTGTTGTAATTTTATTCGTAGGTGACCTTGGAACAAATACATCATGTGACTACACTTCAAAATCCCCAAACCAACCAATCCGCTAGGGTTCGCTTAGCAGCCACACTAGCGCCTCTCACCAGCCCACACAGAAGAATATACTCTTTTGAATTTCGCACCGCCGCTCCCAATCCTCCCATCGACAACCACCGCAACCATGAGCGCCCTCAATAAGATCGCGGCTACGAGCCCCTCGCGCCAGAGCCCCTCCGAGCTGGAGACCAGCATCGCGACTGCTCTCTACGACCTCGAGTCGAACACCGCCGACCTCAAGGTCGCGCTCCGCCCTCTTCAATTCGTGTCCGCACGCGAGGTGAGATGAGCCCGAGCCCATTGACACGATTGTGTAGGATCCGCAGCGAGACAGATGTCCGGAGAACGATTTCGCAATGGCGCCAGCCACACTGTCGTGTTTAGTTGTTGATGTGAGGGACCCGCCGAATGGGTTCGGAGCAGATACATACGTACAGATGGGTGGTGGTGTTGGCGCAGAGTTGGATATTCGGACGGGCTGCGGACCATGTAAATGGAGATCGCATGCTGACTTTGATCGATGTAGATTGAGGTTGGCCACGGCAAGAAGGCTATTGTCATCTTTGTCCCCGTCCCATCCCTTCAGGGTTTCCACCGTGTGCAGCAGCGGTAAGCATTGCCCAAAAAACCTCCCAATGTACCCCAGGATCCAACTGACATCCCAACCAGCCTCACCCGTGAGCTCGAGAAGAAGTTCTCCGACCGCCACGTCGTGATCCTCGCCTCGCGCCGCATTCTACCCCGCCCCAAGCGCTCCAACCGCTCGCGCACTTCCCAGACCCAGAAGCGCCCACGTTCGCGCACACTCACCGCTGTGCACGACGCCATCCTCGGCGACCTCGTCTTCCCAGTCGAGATTGTCGGCAAGCGCTTGCGCACCAAGGAGGACGGATCCAAAGTCCTCAAGGTCATCCTCGACGAGAAGGAGCGTGGTGGTGTTGACTACAGACTCGATACCTACTCCGAGGTCTACCGTCGTTTGACTGGCCGTGGTGTCAACTTCGAGTTCCCCCAGAGTGTTGCCGCTACTGAGTTTTAAATGGTAGCTTAGCAAAAGGGGTTGCGGAGGGATGGGATGTAATGATCATGGCTGGCGTTGTAGCGAATCCGCAGCGTTGTCGGCTTGCAGGAATAAAAGCTTGCTGATCAATGTTACGTGTGTCTCCTTCTATGAATTTGTGTGTACTAAACTGTGAACACTTCAACTTCAATGCTGCCTAAACGATCTAGTATCTGGCTTGTAAAATCTGCCACTAAATCATCCTGAAAGGTGAAAATATATATCACGTGACTACATATAATTTTTTGGTGCAAACTCAAAACACCGCTAGTTTTGAAATCATGTTTGCTTCGTATGCATCCTCACCAAACATCCAGCCAGGTGCGTGAGCAAACATGAGTACGCCGGCACAACCAACTCCTGGCGACAACTACGCTTCACCATCCCACGACTTTATAAACCACGGCCATGGTGAATTCGACCTGGATCAGGCAGCTATGCTGCAGGATATGGCAAGGAGCTCAACGGCCGGTGAGGGCGATGTCCACATGTACGCCTACGACCACGGCGAGGGAATGAGAGGGTTTGATGGGAGTGAGAAGGAACAGGAAGGGGCTAATAGTGCTGCGGCTGCGTTTCCCGATCCAGCACAAATACTCGATGGATATAACAAGGAACATACAAGGGATAGAAGGTCGAATGGAGGTTCGAGCGTTAATGAAAGTGGTCGAGAGGTTACGGAGTACATAGATTATACCCAGCCATCAGCACCGCTTCATGAGCACGACGATGTCGACCCAGTCACTCTTCTCGAGGCACTTGCGAACTTTGATACGACGCCCATGAATACGAGAGCCAACGCCCGTACAGGCTCTCACGATGGCCAACGCCACGACTCGCAATCCCACCAATTCTCTAACGACCACTTCGCGAGCCTACTCCAAGCAGCCGAGACTGCAGGCCAGAGCCAGGAAAATGACAATATACGCATGGATAGCCGGAAGAGAAACAGAAAAGCACAAATAGCGAGCAGATGGGGTGGCCCCCCCGGCTCAGCCACCCACTTCCGCCCGCCCATCCCCCGCACCCACCGCGAAAAGCGCAAGCAAAGCCCCAACGCCGCACAACTCCCCGAGCCAGCCCCAGCATCCGGCTTCATTAAGCCCGGCACGCGGCGCAAGAAGACTAAGGAAATCGACCCCGATCAGCTCGCCCGCGAGCACGCCATCTGGGGCTCTGCATCCGAGTCCGATAATGACGCCGACGACGGCCGCGAGACACACCGCTCGGGGCCACAAGTCTCGACATCTGACGCGCGCGCGGCAGGCGTCCATTCCGCCGCTGCGCTGTTCAGGAGGCCTACGCCGGCTAGTAAGAAGTACACACGCCCGCCGATGTCGAAGCTGTTCACCTCCCTCGAGCTCACGCCAGAGCAGTTCCTTTACCTCCAGGCCGCGGCGAAGATGTACATGCTTGACCCCGCTCACGGGGAGCGCGCGGGCTGCGTGGGGAACAAGGCACGCGCTGATACAGATTTGGTGAAGCTCAAGCTATTCGGGTGCGTGGAGGCGTTTCTCGAGGATGAGGGATGGGGCGAGAGATGTTGGGGTCCTGATGCGGGGAGGGGGGCTCATGAGAGTAGAAGGCTCAGGTGGCCGGAGGGGAAGCACAAGATTATTACGCTTGTGACGCCGTTGATGCGGCGGATGGTGACGAATGAGCGGCAGCGGCTGTATGCGAATGAGACGCGCAAGGCGACGGGGGGGAAGAAGGCGAGGGAGACGGGAGAAGGGGTGGATGAGCAGAGAGAGAAGGTGTTGGTGGATATTGATCCTAAGTTGGGGGATTATCACTATACCCTCGATCCGACGCTGCGGTCACCTGCTGCTGTGGCTGCTTCGACGATGCCACCGGCAGCAAAGCCAGAGAAGGCGGAGATGGTGTATAGAGTTGTGGTTGTGGAGAGGGGGGCGCCGGGGAGGGTATTGCATTCCACTACGTTGCCACAGGAGAAGTGTCCAGTGTTTTCAAGCTTGATGCAGCATGTGAGGTCTGTTCTTGCTAAGCCGCTTAATGGGGGTGGTGAGGGGGAGAAGGGGGCGATGTATATATTACCTACGGTAAAGGCGCTTTTGCCGATGGGGTTGGTGGAAGTGGGAACGGTTGATGAGTGGGAGGAGGCATGTAGAACGGTGGAAGGCGAGGCCTGGATGGAGGGTATCGTGAGGGTTGTTGTGGAGGTTGAGAAGGCGGGCGAGTAGTGAAGGAGAATTTGAAGTCTCGAAACATAAGCGAGCTCATAATGGATTATTGAGCGGATCAACATTTCGTGCAGGATGGGATGCCTAGCTTGTGTCTGTTCAATGCGTGTGCTTTCTGCTTACTCTAGTACCCATAATCTAACGTATCCCTATAAAAACCTATCATCCCAATATAGCCCCACATCTGACTTCTCCTCTCCTCTCCCCACCTTCCTGCCATCATTACACTCCGCTACCACGCTCCTCAGCGTACTTCCAATACCTGCGGGGCCGCTGGCCATAACTTGTATCCCCCAGACGCCGGGCTACGCTCTACGTAGTCTTGCACGGCAGCGCCGAGATCGGGGTGCGTGCCGCCTAAGTATGTAACCGAGAAGCCGCGACTCTCCCCAACCAGGGCTGAGACAGCCACTGAGATCTCCGTCTTGGGGTTCTCATCCTCCACATCAACCACAGTCTCTAATTTGTCACTATCCTTCGCCTCAACCACTACGACCTCATCCTCCTCAACCTCTCCCTCCATCGGACCACCCTCCCTCGTAACAAAAACCCTCACCTAACCCTTCCATCCCCGACCCTCGCCCTCAGAACCCCCATCTCCTCCGTAACACACGCCAAGTCCCTCGCTCGTCGCACAACCCACACAAGCTGCCCCAACCCCTTCTTATGCTTCTCACTCCCCGCCGCCTCAATCACAAGCGGCAGCGCGAAAGAAATCCCGGTCCTCCCGCCACAGCGAGGAGATTCGGCGTCTCTAGTGCGACGCGGGCGCCATACGGCCCTGTGAGGGTGACATGCCTCGATCTCCCGAGAAAGTGTTGCGAGGCGCGATGTCTCACCGGAGATGCCGAGGATGTGTAGGCCGAGGTCGAGGACTAAGATGAGAGAGGCAAAAGCATCCAAAAGTAAAGCTTGTCCCAGTGACCCCAGCATGCGCCGATGTAGAGCGAGGCGACGACGTAGTGGGATTTCTGAAGAATTCGTAGCCGGTCCATTGGATGACGCGGCGGAGACTGAAGACGTAGAAGAAGGTGATAAAGAGCCCCATATTATATAGGGTTCGGCAATAAAAGTTTGGTAGACTGACAGCTGCGGTTGGTATAGTTTACCTTCCACAATGGTCCACGCCAGCGTGTGTAGGAAAGACTGGAAGAAGATTATTCGCCCGACCCAACGGTGGAGGAAATTGAAATGCGGTATGAGATGCCAGTGAGGACGGAGAGGATGCTTTCTCTGCTAGAGAGAAGGACGTTGAGGGGTGTCAGGGCATATGCCAAAATCCCAATGCGGTCAGAGAATCCGGCCATGCCACGGGAGTAAAATATATGTTTTATAGACAATCGCGACCAGCCTAGCAGATATTAGTATTATTAGGCGCTCGAAATAGACGGAGAAGCTACCTACGAGAAGACCAACAAATATCCCAAGATAATTGCTAATATCAGAACTTGTATTCGTGTATCGAGGCCAAAGATGGAAGTAAAAGACTCGGGAAGCAGGTACCGCTGCCTCGTTGCCGCCACTGATCGCCATGCTCTATAATATGCGCCTCGAGGATACGCCGTTGCTTGTGTATGCTTAGAAAAATGATCTAGCTACCGAGAACAAGCTGGCTGTTTAAAAACCCAGAGTTAGAGAATAGTACTAGCTCTGTGCCTTTAAGGTTAGCGTAGTACTAAGAATCCATATGTATGTTGCCTAGAATAACAAGTACTAGTAGTATGACTTTTCCTACTATAGACACAACACAGCCTTAAGGATAGTAATAGACGTACGGTTTTCAGGGCTTAGAGTATAGAGCTCCTTTGTTATTTGAGGCATAATAACCTTCTTACCTCCTAGAATTCCAATTCTAAAGCTAGTTTCATCTATATTCTAGATTGAATCTGGCTTTATACTACAATATAGTATAAACTCAAGGTAGTCTCAAAACCAGTTTATAATACTAGACCCATCTTGAGCTAGTGTCTTATCCCAGTGATACAAAGTGTCCTTGTGAAGTAATTGAGTAAGGGGTAAAGCCAAGGATGTATATCTTGGTATAAACCTCCTGTAATAGTTGGCAAACCCAAGGAAAGACTGAACCTCTTTAATGCTGGAAGGAATAGGCCACGTTTGTACTGCTTTTGTCTTTTCAGGGTCCATCTGAATGCCTTCTGTTGAAATTCTATGTCCTAAGAAATCAACTTGAGACATATGGAAAAGACATTTCGCAAGTTTGCAAAAGAGTTGTGCTTGAGATAGCTTCTCTAAGACTTGTCTAACATGTAGAACATGCTCTTGAGTGTCTAAAGAGTATATAAGAATGTCGTCTAAGTAGACAACAACAAAGATATCCAAGTAAGGTCTTAGAATATCATTCATGAGAGCTTGGAAAGAAGCAGGTGCATTGGCAAGCCCAAAAGGCATTACCTGGTATTCAAAATGACCATAGCGTGTTCTGAATGCTGTCTTCCACTCATCACCTTCTTTGATGCATATCAGGTTATAAGCTCCCCTGAGATCTAACTTGGTAAAGATCCTTGCTGAAGAGAGCCTATCCATGAGCTCAGGGATAAGGGGTAAAGCATATCTGTTTTTAACAGTGACTGCATTAAGGCCCCTATAATCAACACAGAGACGCAAGGAGCCATCTTTCTTCTTGACAAAGAGAATGGGAGCTCCTGCTGGTGAGGAAGAAGGTCTGATAAAGCCAGAACTAAGGTTCTCATCTAGGTATTCTCTGAGAGTTTTCAGCTCTAATTCAGATAGAAAGTAGATAGGGCCGTAGGGAGGCATTGAGCCTTCTGCGAGTGGCATCTCATGGTCATAAGGCTGGTGCTTTGGCAGAATTGATGCCTTTGCCTTGTCAAAAAGGTGTTGATAGTCTTGGTATGCTAAAGGCAAAATGACCTCCTGATATGATTTCTCCAAATCTGAAGTAGCTGCTATCTCCAGGACAGGTTGGAAAGGTTTAACCCATATCAGAGATGATATATCGTCCATAGTTTGGTCAAAATCCTTGATCTGGGACAAGTTTGAGTCTTGGACCTGAATAGGGGTAACTGAGGCTTGAAGGGTTTTTTCAGTATTGAGCTCAGGATTTGAGCTAAACCCAAGCGATAAATGCTTCCAATTGATAGTTGGATCATGCCTTTGAAGCCATGGAAGACCTAGGATGACTGGGTACTTCATTGGTATAACATCTAAAGAGATAGTGTCTGAAAATGTTGATTTTCCTAGGGAATCTCAAGTTTGAGTACTGGGGTGTTGCAGGTAATGGAACCTAAACTGATAGGAGTTCCATCAATGACTCGGAGCAACTCTGGAGTGCGTTTGGGAATTGTAGGTAACTGGTGTGTCAAGATGAGGTCTTGAGATATAAAGTTGCCTGTTGCCCCTGAGTCTATCATAGCCCTTGTAGATAACACCTGTTGTTTGAAATGGAGTTGAATAGAGATTAACAGGTGTGTGAAACTCTGAGAAAGCACCATCGACACATCTTTGTTGTCTAGGGGAGAAGTTGTAGTCTCAGTTGAAGTTGTGCCTGCAAGGGATTTTTCAAGTTTTTCAGGTATAGCAGCTGTGACTGTGTCTGAGGCTTCTATATGTTTTGAATCAGCACCTCCCCATGCTGAATAGCACTCCTGAATTTTGTGCCCCCCTTTGCCACAGTATAAACAAAGGTTGTTGTCCATTCTGTGTTTTCTTTCTTGAGGAGTAAGTTTACCCCTTTTCAGTTTTTGAGGGCTTCTTGTAGGCTGAGGTGCTGGATTTGCTGTAGCTCTCTTTATAGAGGCATCTAAATCCATAGGTTCAGGTGCTGAGTCCTTAGCAGTTGGTGTAGAGGTGTAATTGTTGAAATTTCTTGTTGGATGCCAGTCTTGGTTCTTCTCCTTTCTTCTTTCAAAAAGCCTATCATCAAGTCTGACAGCTTTCTCTATAAGCGTTTAAAGTGTTGTAGGGCGTTCTTCTTTGCTGAGTTCATCCTTAATAGAGCTCTTGAGCCCTTGGTAGTAAGTGAAGACTAAGGCTTCTTCATTCCAAGTCAAGATTCTCCTAAATTCTGTTGTATACTGAGCAGCAGAGGTCTTTTGACATAGCTTCTGTAGCTCTCTTTCTGCTGTAGCAGTTTCGTTGATGTCTCCAAAGGTCCTGGTAAGTTCCTCTTGAAACTGGTCATAAGAGGTAATCAAAGGTGTAGTGGTATTTTGGTTGTTGCCACTAAGTCTTCTAAGATATGGCTCAAAGAAGTTGAATGCAGATCCACGGAGGTAGCTGGCAGCGAAATATATCTTCTGAATGTCTGAGGTGAACTGATGAGGCCTGAGGGTGAAGTAGATGTCCAGTTGCATAAGAAATCCCTTCAACTTCCTCCTGTCTTCATGGTATAAATCTGGTGTTTGCACTTTAGGAAGTGCACCTGGGCTACCCGACATAGCCAGAGGAGCTGTGGGAAGCTCTGTATGATGTGTCTGAGTTGAAGATTGTGGTGCTGAAGTGTTGGCTTGAAAGGTGTTTTCCAAATTCTCAAGTTTGTTTGCTATAGTTTGTATAAAAGCAAACAGCTGTTGCATCTGCTGTTCAGCAGTAGTTGTAGGAGCTTGGTCGTCCTCCATTGTAGTATCGAAGTGCTGCTATAGAAATAGTTGAAGCTTGAAGCAGACAAGGTGTAATGGTGTGACAAGCCAAAATATGTATAGTGACTGTAGGTTTGAGGAGGAGATTTCTAAGTTTGCTCTTGAGTTTGATAGCAAACTGAGTGCAACGAATGTCAGTATGACAATAGAAGTGGTGCTCAAAGTGTAACGCTGACTTCTAAACGATAGAAGACACAGAGGTTTCTTGCGTAAGGTTGACTTGACAGAGGAGGCAGGGGATTAGACACAAAGGCTTTCCAAGTAACACGTTACAGTATTGTAGAGAATACTATATTGAGTTGAGCATGAAGCTCCTATCTAAGAAAATACTATCTACTTATATAGTGGCGTCGTGCCTCATGGGTAATTTGGATAGTTGGCAGATAGCTAGATATTCAGGATAGTTCGTGGATAGCTCAACTATCCAATATCCACTAGTTTCTGCAACTATCCATTAGCCCCGTCACATGGCAGCCTACCCCACTTCCCCCTGTGACTCACACGTCACGTTACTAGGCCCTGGCCCTGTAACCATAATGTCATGTTACTGTAGCCGTAACATATACGCTTAAGCATCTACTGCCAACTAGCCTAACTACTACCTGTTACGACGGAACAAGAAGGCTGGCCAACTACAGGACAGGAAGGAGGGAGGTCGCATGAGACCGGCCCTGGTACCTGGAGGGGCAGCGGGGAATAGTAGTTCCGAAAGTATCACGTGACGGACTCGCAGGATGATGAGAAGAGTCCTAAGAGTCCAGGACTCCGAGGACTCGAGTGAGTTCCCAGGAGTCCACTAGGCACGTGATGGACTCGCAGGATGATGAGAAGAGTCCTAAGAGTCCAGGACTCCGAGGACTCGAGTGAGTTCCCAAGAGTCCACTAGGCACGACGCCACTATATA